AGACGGTCGCACCGGCTTTTTAGAGGAAAGCCTCGGGTTTGACTCAGCCTCACCTCTCGGGGACCTTGGGTACTATTTGGAGATAAGGTATTTACAGAAAGGATCACGCTCCATTGAGGTCAGTTAGGTGGGCCTTGATCTGGTGCGGCTAGGGTCCTTATCAAAAGGGGGAAATGTGTGCAGACAGGGAAGCTGGCTACCTCCAAGGCAAAGAGAGGGGACTGAGACAGAGCAGTTCTTTCTCTTGAAAGCCTTGGAGGGGCCCCGATGGCATCCTGGTGGCAGCCTGCTAGCCTCTGGGCCTATGGATCCTGATTTTCTGTTGTTGAGGTACCATACACAGAGAGTATGCTGTTATTGCAGCCGTAGCAAGAAACTCAGGTGACCTCCGTGCCCCAGTCTCCTGCCCAGTAGCATCTAGGGTTGTTCTAGGACTCTGATGAGAAGGTGTACACGAGGCATTCGCATGGCTTTTGGCATATAGTAGGCACGCAATAATAGCAGTGGCTATTAGCCCTGTGCTGTGTGACCTCTTGGCTCTACCAGCAGAGCTTATAGAAGGTAGGTGGCTGGGACCGGGCCAGAAAGCCCCGACTAAGACCTTTCCCAGGGAACTGGGTCACCTTAGGCACCCCTTCAAAAGCCTCTAAATGTAGAGAAGGCCAAGAATGTCCCATTAGCAGAGCGCCTAATGGTTTTTAGCTGGAGCGTGGTCTTGGGCCTAATTGACCAGGGTACAAGGCTGCGGCTCTTTATTTTTATATGCTGGCTCTGCCCTGAGTATATTGAGCTGCTATGGGGATCAATATGTGCAGCCATCATGGGCATTGATGGGTATTTTGTGAAGGAAGTGGTGTGGTTGCCAAGGAGGGACACTCCCCGATGAACCTGAGCCGACCTGTTATCCGCCATGGGCCTCAGTTTCCACATCTGCCAAGTGACGGAGGCAGCAAAGACCTCAGAGTTGTGTGTGTGAATTCTGTGTGCACACGTGTATGTTGCATACGTGTGAAGAATTTTCGTTGTGTTTCTCTTTCCTTTTGGCAGTTCTGGGGACTGACTGAACCTAGAACTTTGTACATGCTAAAAAAGCGGGCGCTTGACCACTGTGCCGCACCCTCCGGTCTTTTTATCCGGTTCTGCAAGGAGTTTCTACCCGCGCCCCACCCCCGCCCCCCAGGTCATTCTCCACCTGGGCTACCTTTCAGGACTGCTGGCTCCTGGCTGAACTGGGGATCTGAAGCTTCCATTCTAAGGCTGTTTCTCAAAAGTGGGTGCTGTGGCGGTAGCCGCTCTGAGTGGCTGGGGTCAGAGAGACGAAGGAGGTAGCAGAGCTGACTGCTGAAGGCTCTGCTGCTCGGCAGGCCCCTGCTGTCTCACTCACACTCTCTGTCCCAGCTTCAGGGCCTCCTTCTACAGGCCCTGGGTGATGGCTCTCCAGCTTGCTGCTTCCTGTCTCCTGGATGCCTCCAACAGCCTAATGCCGCCCTTGCTGCGCTGACCCTACCCCCCCCCCCCCCCCCATCACACTCCGAGTAAAACCCAAATCTCCTACAATCCCACCTGATCCGGCTGCCACCTGCCTCTCCGTCCGCTGCCCCCCCCCCCCCCCCCGGCCCCAGCTCCAGGCAATGAGCTGCAGCCTGCTGATCTCAGCACCCAGCGCCTCCATCCACGTTAGCATGTCCTAGGCTCGCGCTTACTGAGGTCTTCGCCCTGTCTAGTGCCCCTCCTGCCTCCCCCATCACCTGGCTTCTGTCTGCTCCATTAGGAAGCCTTACCTGCCCCCACCTCACCCCCTCCATCTAAATCAGTTAGCTCCCCGTGCTCCAAAATGACCCAGCAAATTCAGACCTAATATACACCCCAGAGAAATAAAGGCGTATGTCCACAGAAAGACTTACACACAGCTGTTCCAGCTTTAAAATGGCCCAAACGTGGAACCAAAGCCTCCAGCTGCATTGCCACAGACCGGGTACAAAGGGCACAGAAGTGCCAAGAAGTAGCGGAGAGAACCCACCTTTAGTGGCAGCAGCTGTGGAGCATGGATGATTCAGAGCTGGCGTGGCTGGCGTGGCTGGCGTGGCTGGGGTGGCTGGCGTGGCTGGGGTGGCTGCCGTGGCTGGCGTGGCTGGGGTGGCTGCCGTGGCTGGGGTGGCTGCCGTGGCTGGCTCACCGCAGGGATTCAGGGTTAAGGCAGCATGTCCCCTCTCACCTTCAGACTCCCAGCTAGGCCCAGAAGCATCTAGCTAGCCTCGTCACAATTTGTGCAGTGGTCCTTCTTATTCTTGAAGATTGTGTTCCAGATCCCAGGTAGATGCCTGAAGCCACAGAGAACGCCAGACCCCGAATACTGTAGGCTTTTTTTTTTCTATGCATGTGCACAACATGTGAAGCCCTTTCCACCTGTACTAAGCTTTCACTCTGTACTGCGACCTTAACTGTAAACGTTTGAGGTGCGTGCGTGCGTGCGTGCGTGCGTGCGATAGCAAAATCAGCGTGGAATTCCCCCCCCCCAACCCCTTCACAAATTCTTAGATTGCGTCTTAGACCTTAACCCACCTTGTCATAGGACTCTTCTCTTTCCTGATTAGAGCGCTAGCTTGCCTTTTCCCCTACGAGAAGTGCTTCATGGCTCCACGTTAGCATCTTGCCAGGGCAGCATGGCTGCTCTTGAACTTTGGGGCATTTGCTGTGAGATAATCGGTCACTGGAAACAGCACCGTCATGCCACAACAGACTGTCGGTAATGAGGATGACTCCGGAGACCCTAATGGGCAGGCAGTATACACCCTATAGGTACGCTGGACAAATGGAGGACTCAGAGACAGGGCCAGACTACTTAAGATTTTACCATGCAGATCAGAATGGCGCATAATTTATAACTTTTGAATTGCTTACTTCTGGAATTTTCTGTACAGATAAGAGGAGATGGCTCTAATCATGTCTTTTGTGTGGGTTGCCTAGCACCCTCTCTTCCTCAGCCCCAGGGGTCCACCTCTGAGAGGACAGTGGTCAGTTTTGTCTGTTCCACTCCTGGCTGTCGCATATTCTCCAGTACATGGTTCTGAGTAACTCCGCAGCTCAATACTTAGGGCTACTGGATGGACGTGTGTTGGAGAAGATGGAGAGCGGGGATGGTAGGGACATCCCCCGCCCCCTGGAGCACATTTGCTGGCACAGTGCTGCTTGGCCTGAGACTCAGCCAGGAATGGCCACGGGCAGAGAGGCCTGGTTCCCATGCTGCCCCTATAGGCCGGATTCTTGCAAAATGCCAATTAAGATATTTGACCCAAATTTGGGTAAAAGCCCTTTTCCTGTTTCAAGTTGAGCTAATTATATACATTTATTCATAATTTATGAGGCCTAGTAAGTGGGAACAATTAGGAAAAGGCCAGGGAAAAGCCTATTTCTCCTGAGTGTCGTGTTTGCCTTTTTCCCCCCCTGAGGCCAGTCCCACCCATCTGCCATAGAACTCGGCTGCTTTTATTGTGACTGTTGTCTTTCTCTGAGGTCACTACCCTTAGCTGACATTTATTGAGTACTTACGGGGCCGGACTGTAACTCCACCTCAATTACTTTTGAGCCTGTAAGACACTGGTGCCGTGCCCATTTTATAGTGAGACAGTTGGGCCTCAGAAGGTCATGTGAATGGCCTTCCCTATCAGGCTGGTGGCTGATGAGTAGAAATTTAGACTCTGGATAGCCAGGCCTCAGCTACTTCCCTCAAAATCTGTGGTGTCCCACTACAGCGCCGTCCTCCTGCCTCAAGGGTTTCTGAGTCTTCAAGGCAGTCCCATAATTGGTGATGGATGACCTTGGGTACCAGGAGAAAGTTGGCAGTTTGTGACTTAGCAGAGGTGGCCTGGCCCGAGGGTCTGCATGGATAGAAAATCCCCAGAAATGGGACTGGAGAGATGGCTCAGCCGTTAAGAGCACTGGCCGCTCTTCCGGAGGACCCGGGTTCAATACCCAAGCACCCACACGGCAGCTCACAACTGTCTGTAACTCCTGTTCCAGGGGGTCCGATGCCCTCACACAGACACACCTGTAGGCAAAACACCGATGTATATAAAATAAAAATAAATAAGTTATTTTTAAAAAGAGAAAGAAAAGAAAATCCCCAGGAGACGAGGACGAAGCTGGCCCTGGTCCTTTGAGAACGGTTGGTCAGGATGGTGCTGCTACCAGAGTCCCCTGTCACTTCCTTCCACGCTCACTCACCTCCCTGCAGGTGGGTGGGAGCTCTGTAGACCTCTTCCTGTGAGCTTACGTGGATGTTATCCTACGTGGGGAAGCTTGCAGCTTGGTGGCCATTTCCTTCCCTACGCATGTGGATTGTCTTCTGCATGAGGCTGTTCCGTAACTTAGGTGGTTCTTTGGCACATTTTCAAGGCGATCCATAGATCTGCCTCATTCTTTTTCGATAGGACTGTGGTATTCTGTAATAAAGGTGTGTTACGGTTTTATTTCCAACCTATCCTCTGGGTGGTCTTCCACACTTCAGACATTATAAATAATTATAACATGCCCGTGGACTTCGGTGTTTCCCAAGAGCTCGGGAATCACTCAGTGTCAGACATTATTATCTCCTTGTTCTGTTCTGTGACTAATAAAATAAAGGACATTAGCTATGAGGCATCGCCTTCCAGGTGAGGGGGACTTTTATAAAATGGTAACTGTTTAGAGGTGCTAATAAAGTGTTCAACAAAGCAGTCCCGGTAAGAAGAAAGACCTACTGTGTGGGCAGGGTTTTGAGGGATGTGTACGAGTACAAAGAGAAAGGAAGAGGCGGAGGGGCCTTGTGCTGCAGGGCCCACCTTATCTTCCAGTAGGCTCAACAGTTTTAAGGATTGGGGCAGATCTTTACATTTATTGGTTATTTGGCAAACTTGGGTCTTGGTAGAGAGTCCCGATCCACAGCTTTATGAACAAGCAGGTTCCTGGCTGGGTGTGGCCACACTCAGCTCTGATCACCTCTTTCCTTCCTGTCTCCTCAGGATGGGGAATCCGGGGAGGAACAGCTGTGTGCTGACTTTCCAGAGCTCGACCTCTCCCAGCTGGACACCAGTGACTTTGACTCAGCCGCGTGCTTTGGGGAGCTGCAGTGGTGCCCCGAGACCTCAGAGACAGAGCCCAGCCAGTACAGCCCTGATGACGCCGAGCTCTTCCAGGTGGGCCCTGACTCTCATCAGTCCTATGCTCTGTTCCCTACCTTCTGTGTTTGTTCAAACCAACGTGCACCCACTCACGCAAGATCTTGGGATCCCCTTTCCCTCTCTGGATCTACACCTGGCTTAGGACAGCTCTCGCACCCTTGCCTGGCCTGTTTTGCCACCTCCAGAAAGTAGGGTCTGGAATGAGCTGCCCCCTGGGTGCTTTGCAGGTGGAAGCAAGCCCCTTCGGGGGCCAGGGGGGTCTGAGTCCTTTGCGCCCACATCATCTCATTGAATCCTCAGCTCCTTTTCCACGAGGCAGGTGCCGTTACTTCTTGACTTTATAAATGGGGAAACTGAGGCTTTGAGAGGTTGGGCAAGTCACTTCCTCAGTAACTGAACTAGACTCAGACTCTGAGCCAGGCATCCCCGACTCATGCTTGTAAATCCCAGCACTGGGGAGACTGAGCCAGGAGGATAGCCATGAGTTTGATGCCGGCCTGGGCTTCCTTCCATGAGCGAATTCTTATCTTGAAAAAACAAAAACCAGGAGCTGGGGGGATGGGCCGGCAGTCAAGAGCACTTGCTACCCCTCCAGAGGACTCAAGTTTGGTGCTCAGCACTTAACAACCACTTGTAACTCTAGCTCCAGGGGAAGTGACACCCTCTTCTGGCTTCTGCCGACACTGCACACAGGTGCAAGACACATACACATAAATGGAAAAAACAAATCTTCCAGCACTCGGGAGGCAGAGGCAGGAGGATCTCTGTGAATTCAAGGCCAGCCTGGTCTACAGAGCGAGTTCCAGGACAGCCAAGGCTACACAGAGAAACCCTGTCTCAAAAAAAAAAAAAATGGATAAACAAATCTTAACATGACATCAACAATATAAATCCAACCTGCTTCCTGAGCCAGGACTTTTCGATCAGGACTCTGGGATGGGGCTTATGGTACTGAGCATCTCTGCAGTACTGAGCATCTCTGCAGTACTGTTTCTGCCTGTGTGTATTGCCTCACTCTGTTCTCTCGTCAACTCTTACCCGGAAGAGCACCCAGAGGTTCAACAAAACCAGCCATTCTGCAAAGTGCTTTCAGTCAGTGGCTTGGGTGTCCAGCCCAGGCACATGATTGTGGTGATATATTGTGTGCCCCAATAAAGCTTACCTGGGGATCAGAGGACAGAGCCAGCCACTAAATTAGACATAGAGGTCAGGCAGTGGTAACACACTCCTTTAATCATATCACTCGGGAGGCAGAGATCCATCTGGATCTCTGTGAGTTCAAGGCCACACTGGGCTGCATGAGAGAAATAGAACCAGGCAGTGGTGACACATGCCTTTAATCCCAGGAAGTAATATGGCAGGACACAGAAAGATACATAAGGCATGAGGAAACAGGAAGTCGCTCTCTTGAGGCTGAGGGTTTTGTAGAGGTAAGAACTAGTGGCTGGCTGTTCTGCTTCTCTGATCTTTCAGCTTTCACCCCCATACCTGGCTCTGAGTTTTTTATTATAAGACCTTTTAAGATTCGTGTTACACATGATGACTAGCAGTCCTTTAAGAAGGCCTCTTCAAGTAGACTAATAGCATGAGATGTCTGGGTTGTTCTTCAGAATAAAGCAAGTTCTACAGACATTTGCTTGTGTGTGTTGGGGCAGGGGGTGCCCCGCGTGAATGGCCACAGATGAAATAAGGCTCGCCATGTTGAAGCTGGGTGATGGAACCTGCAGATGTACTGATCTTTTCCCAAAATCATCTTTCCCATAGAGGCAGGTGCCTAGGCTCAGTGAGCCTCTGTGGTAGCCAGGTAGCACTGTACCATGCCCACATGGGGCTTGTATGTCATTGCGCATCTTGCATAGTCCTGGAGACGGAGCTTGTCGTCTGTCCTTCCAGAGCAGCCTGTCAAGCTCCCTGTGTGTCAAGAGCTGAGGTCATCAGTAGACCCTAGATTAGCAAACACATAAGCCAGTGGCAGGGACTACCAGGGCCTAGGGCAGAGAATGGCTGGAGGCTGGTGTCAGGGAAAGGCCTCTGGTAGTTAGCCAGGGGGAGTGGAAGGGCAGGAACAGTGATCCTAGAGCAGCCGCTGGGAGCTTGCAGTGCTGGGGAGGAAGTATAGGTAGTCGGGACCTCACCATAGAGTCTTATTCATAGTATGGATTTTCCTTGAGACTATTCTAACCTCTAAATTGCATATTATTAGTCACTCATTTTGTAGGTGAGGAAAATAAAGCCCAGAGAGCTGGGGTGACCGGCTCCAGGTCACACAGCTAGGAAGGATCAGGGCAAAGGTTCGAACTTAGGAGCCCATAGCATGCGCTACTATGTGGAACCCCTTTGCCAATCCTGTGAGGGCTGGGCTCTGGCCCTGTCTGGCTCCATCTGGGATGTCTCTGTCTGTCTCTGTATTTCTCTCTCTCTCTGTCTCTCTGTCTCCGTCTCTGTGTGTGTGTGTGTTTATGTATGTATGTATGTGTATGTATGTTTGTATATGTGAGTGTGTATGTGTGTATATGTGAGTGTGTGTGTGTATATGTGAGTGTGTGTGTGTATGTGAGTGTGTGTGTGTATGTGAGTGTGTGTGTGTATGTGTGTATATGTGAGTGTGTGTGTGCGTGTGTGTGTATGTGAGTATGTGAGTGTGTGTGTGTGTGTGTGTGTGTGTGTGTGTGTGTGTGTGTGTGTGTGTGTAGGCCAGAGGACAACCTCTGTGTCATTCGTCAGGTACCATATACCTTGCCTTTTGTCTGTGTTTGCTTTTGAGACAGGGTCTCACCATGTATGTATTCCTGGCAGAGATTTATCTGCCTCTGCCTTCTGAGTGCTGCCATTTTAAAGACACATATTATTATGCTCGACACATCTTGCTTTTTGAGACAGATTCTGTCACTGGTCTAGAATTCACCTGTTTCCACTTCCCTGACACTGGAATAGCAAGTGTATGCTGCCACTCTTGTTTTGTTGTTTGTTTGTTTGTTTGTTTGAAACATGGGTTCTGAGCCTTGAACTTGGTCCTCTTGCTCACAAGGCAAATGCTTTACCAACTGTTTAAAAAAAGCAAAACCAAGCCAGGCGGTGGTGATGCACACGCCTTTAATCCCAGCACTCAGGAGGCAGAGACAGGCGGATCTCTGTGAGTTCGAGGCCAGCCTGGTCTACAGAGTGAGTTCCAGGAAAGGCGCAAAGCTACACAGAGAAACCCTGTCTCGAAAAAACCAAAAAAGCAAAACTTAGACACGGTGCCAAAACAGCACTGCCTCCGCTCTCTTTGGGGACAGTTTTTCAAAACTGCTTTCAGATTGCAGAGAACTAATGTACACGTGGGGTCAGAGTGCTGCTGGAGACCATCCCCGGGAGACTGCACATGCCGGAACCTACTCTTCCTAGCCAGAGCCTCAGCAGGCCTCCGGGAAAGTCATATCATGGGTGAAATGGGCTCCGAGCTGAAGGAGCCTGCTGAGGCTCCCAGCCCAGTGAGCAGTCAGCCTTCATGGTGGGCGGAGCTCTTACACAGAACCTCTCCTGCTCATGGCCACTCCCCCAGACCAGGCCATTCTAAGCAACCGAGCCTGCTGTCTGGGTGATGGTGTGACGGCAGTCTGTGGCCATCATGATCTGTCTGGCATCCCTCCACCCCTTCATCAACTCTGGGGCTGGGTCCTCAGTTGGCGTATTGTACCCCAGGACTTCACCCTGTCTGTGTCTAGCCTTGCATCCAGCCCTAACAAATCACATAAACAGAGCCATGGGTCACGCCTCCTGAGGCATTTGGTCACTTCTGCCCGTGGACATCTTCTGTCTATGCTCTCCCTGAACGGTTTACTCATTTCTGAAGCCTTTGCCCATGGTAAGGGTTCAGTTAGTAGGTGTTTTGACCTCTTCCAAAACCTTGAGCTGAGACCCAGGGTCCACTGGTTCTGATCCTCTTTCTGCCTTTAACTTAGTTTCCTCCCACTGGGGGGAGGGGAGGACTGCGGCAGAGGGAGCACGCTGGAGCATGATACAGTGTCAGTGTCCTGTTCTGACAATCCAATGGCACCATTGCTATGGGAACAAACTAAGAGAAAGGGGGGCAAGCTATACTTCTAAGGGTTGACAAGATTTGGGGACATGGGCATTGCTTTCCATTTTCTGTATGTCTTAAAGTCTTGGGGCCAGGGTATGACAGGCACTTAGTGAATGCTCTAGAGTAAGCAGATGTTTGGCTACTTCATGCAATATGGCCTTGGCAAGCTCCCTTTTCCGGGGCCTCAGCTTCCCTGCGTGAGGAATGAAGAAGGAACACGGACTGTATCACAGTTTCTTGGTGTGTTAAGGATGGAGGAAGTCAAGCCGGGTGGTGGTGGCGCACGCCTTTAATCCCAGCCCTTGGGAGGCAGAGCCAGGGGGATCTCTGTGAGTTCGAGGCCAGCCTGGTCTACAGAGCGAGATCCGGACAGGCACTGAAACTACACAGAGAAACCCTGTCTCAAAAAACCAAAAAAAAAAAAAAAAAAAAAAAAAAAAAAAAGATGGAGGAAGTCACCAGTCCTTAGAGATGCCGGGAATTCACGGACCCTCTTAGAAGAAGGGCATGTTGGGTTGTGAGTGACTTTTTCTGTGTATTCTTCTGGCTCTGTACCATTCCTTCATGCCACTCCAGTCCCCAAATGGAGTATTTCACTAAGGCTTCTCCAAGACTCCTTTTCCTCCAGCCTGAGATGAGCCAGGGAAGGCTGGGGGTGGGGCAAGTCTATTAATATCTCTTCTCAGCTGATTAACTCTCCATTAATTTTCGCTCCGTTTCTAAGCCGAGCAGGGGGAGCAAGCTAATGGGCCCAGGCAGGATGAGGTAGCCAGCTCCAATGATATCTAAAGGCGCCTACAGGGCAGCCAGGAGGCCTGGAAGGAGCCAGGGCAGTGTGGGTAAGGTGGCCCTTCTCCGAACCCCACCCAGCCATTCCAGAGCTAGGCAGCTCAGGAAGAGGGACCGAGAAACAGGTCTTTTGTTAGTCACTGTGGCTTACATCCAGCCTCATCATGGTCTCTGCCATTTTGTGTTCATCTCCACCCCATGCCCATGCTCTATAAGTTAGGGTTCTCTCATCCTTGGCCCTGCCCTGGTTTGCTATGTAGCTCTGGCAGGTCTTTGTTCTGGGGCTTCAGCCCACCTGCGGAAAGAATGGTGGGTAGGTTTCCCAAGGAGCGCCAGCTGTGACTGGTTGAGGTTGCTGCCTAGAGCCCTCCTGTGTCACCAGGACTCTGGCATGACGTCATCCATGGCGCAGATGAGCTGGAACACACACACATACACACACACACACACACACACACACACACACACACACACACACACACCACTTGTTTGACACCCCTGGCCACTGGGTGATCCCGAAAGCCCTTCCAGTTATGTTACGGCTGATAATTTATGGCACCCTGGGAATTCTCATTCCACCCAGCACTGATGACGTCATTCTGAGTGACTTCTCTAGAACCTGGGAAACTGAAGTCAGCCAGTCTCCCTGTTGCTCCCCATCTGTTTCCTTCACTCAGCAATTTTGCTGCTTCCCACAACCCAGGCTTGGAGCTGGGAGAAGTGTTGGGGTTATGTCCCCCACTTGTGCAGGTTCAGTGGAGGGACGCATCTTGTTCAGGGCCATCCTGGTGGCAGAGCTCCGTGTGGTCATCCCCCAAATCATATCACTGGGTCCAAGTTCCAGGTTCTTAATTCCCCATCACGCTAGCAAGGTATTCTGGGAATCAAGTATAGGGAGTCTTGCCTGAGGATTAGGGGGGTTTTGCAGGTGGGGTCAGCCACTTGAGTCTTCCTCATAGCTTTCTAGATCCAGAGTCCACAGAGCCCTGGCTCAGACCCACTAACAACTTCTTTTGACTCTTTTTTTTTTTTTATTCTTAGCTCTGTTCTAAAAATGACGAACACGTTTGTTCTCCTCTCCCTGAGTCCCCGTTTGAGTTACTCAGCTGCAGCTCGGACTGTAAGGTTACAGCCTGGAACAGATTTAGTGCAGCCAAAAGGCCATCACGAGATGTGTGTTTCAGATGAACTTCCTGAAGAAAGGAAGAGCAGCTGGACCCGGGATGGGAAAGCTTGCCTCGGAAGGGAGCATGTGACAGCGTGTGCTTCTGCCAGCACAGATCCCGGGAACCGGGGCTTCTGACTGGGACGCTTGGCCTGATCTAGAAGCAGTGTGGCCTGTGTCCCCAGCCTCAAGCTTCGGACCCGGGGCTAGGCACCTCAGGGGTTGCAGACAGCAGGGAAGATGGGACTCCAGTCCATTTGTGCTCAAGCTCTGACTCTACCCGATGCTTGCTGCAAAATGGAGATTAGAAGCATGCCCCCGACACAGGGGTGTTGTGTGAGCTCCTAGGTGCTATTGACAGAGTTTTCCAGCCCCTCATGCCTGGGCCTTCACCCTGGGTCTCCCCTTAGCCTGAGCCTTGGTTTTTCAGCCTTTTACTCACCTACTAAAGTTCAAGTGTCAGCTGCTCAGAGAAGGTTCCTGGCTACTCAAGGCAACCTGCCATCTTCTTGGATTTTGTTGTTGTTTGTTTTTGTTTTGGGTGTTTTTTTTTGTTTTGTTTTGTCTTGTTCTTTGCTGCCCCCGCCTCCTCTGGCTTCCTCCAGCCTCTCTCCAGCTCTAAAATGTATTATTCCCGTGTTCTCTTACCTAGCTCCCTTCATCAAAAGCCAAGCTCTAGGAGGGCAGGGGCATGATGGTCTTGGTGTGCCGATGACTACGTCCAACACAAAGCCGGATGCAGTACAGCATGTGATGGGGGCGGGGAAGACAGGAAGTGAGGTGGGGGCTGGCTTCTGTCCTTGTTGCTGAAATGATAGCGGTATAGTTAGTGCGTATAGCATAGCAAGGGATCAGTGCTTGCTCTGTGTCAGCTACTGCTTTCTAAGCACCTCACCTGCAACCGCCCCCACCCCAACCCCATCCTCAGCAGGAACGCCTTGGAGTAAGTCCTGTCTGGTATCCCTCTGGCAGGTGAGGAATAACTGGAGGAAGTGTGGTCTCTGTGAGTCGGCAACTCCGAAAACCAGCACCCATTGCCTCTCCCCGAGTGAGCACAAGCTCCAGGATCCCATCAAGAGTCCAAGCTGGTTTCCACGCTTCTAGTTATGACTGCCACAGTTGAGCTCTGGGGTATCCAGTCTCTACCCTGTCTGGGCCTCAAGGTTCAAGGGGCTGGGACCCCCTGCCACCAATGATGGAGAGGAGCTTGAGACTCTGATAGAAGAGGCGGGTGTCTCCAAGTAGGCTGCCTTCTGCCTAGGTCACAGCTCAATGAGCAGCGGAGTCAGGACTGGGACTCCAGGCGAGGCCCTTCCCATAGCCTGCTTATCAAATTCTATGGTTCTTGAAGTTGACTGTTTATTGACCATGTGCTATTCCAGAAGTATGGAACAGATTTGTCGGGTTAAGGAGCAGGCATGGAGATGGCGAGGAGGTAGTGGTGGCTCATCCGGGTAGGCAATGGGTTGCCTTCCTGCAGACTGCTGGGTCTCCCACAGTGACTAACCCTCCCCCCCCCTCCCCACTTTCTCTCTTCCGTCCAGATTGACAGTGAAAATGAAGCTCTCTTGGCTGCGCTCACCAAGACCCTGGATGACATCCCCGAAGACGATGTGGGGCTGGCTGCCTTCCCGGGACTGGATGAGGGAGACACACCATCTTGTGTCTCAGCTTCACCTGCCCCTTTATCGGAGCCCCCCAGCCCCACCCTGGAGAGGCTTCTATCCCCAGTGTCTGAAGTGGATGATGAGCTTTCACTGGTGAGGACTGTGGCCTGGGGGCTGGTATCAGACTGTAGAATGAGGGCTGGAGCTGTCCGTTCCAGCTCAGTCAGGGTCCCTGAGTACCAGGATGGACATGGTTTCTGCCGAGAGCCTCGGGTGCAAGGCCTCGCTGGGCCTTTACCCTTCCTGCCTGGACAGTGGCATTAGACTTGGTTCTATTTCTGTTTTAAACCTTGAAATTACACACAAACATTTTCACGAAGATAACACATATAGGATCAAAGCCCGAGCAGGAAACAGAAACGTGGACAGTTAAAAGCAAAACCTTCCTAGCACTCCTACAATTGCCTTTTCCTTCCCCAGAGGTAACCATGGTTACTGATCTGTTACATGACTTTCCTCTTCACCTTTTTTTTTTTTTTCAAACTACAAAACCAACAGAGCCTGCGTGATGATAGACCGTTCTGTACCTTGCTTCCTCAGAGCAGTGTGTCCTGGAAACCCTTCAGATGAGTGTGTGGAGTCTTGCCTCCCCCTTATTGGCTGTGTAGTATTCCAGGCAAGGATGTGCCATCATCATTTAACTGTTCCCCTGCTGATGGACATCCGTTGTCGACTGCTCCGTCATCACACACAGTATTACAGTCATTGGTTGCCGCATGTAGGTAGATAAGTTCCAGAAATGCAAATTCTGGGTCTGTGGATACATGGTTTTTCAGTTCCAATAGATCCTTGTAGATGATGCTTCTAAGAGATTGGGCCAGTTTTCACACTGAGTGCAAGTTAAAAAGCTTTTTGTATGAGTGTGTGTAGAGGGTATGTGGAAATGTGGGGAGTAGATACTGCCTCTGACTGGCTTTTCAAGGGTCTGAACCTCCCAAGTTACCGAGGACACTTGTCCTGGACTCTGGCTGAGGACATCAAAGCCCAGGTACATGGTCAGCTTTGTGCGGATGCAGGGGGTTCCTCCCTTCCTTTGGAGCTGCAACTTCTGGGGTTGCTGAGACTCAGCTGGGAGGGGGGGCGTTGTTAAAACCTGTCAGAGCTGGGAGGGCTCTTAGATCCTGGAAAGGCCCTCTATGAGCATCAACTTCTGCTCTGAGGAACAAACGTAAGACCTAGGGGCGGAGTCTCATGGTAGGTTGGTATGCCAATCAAGTTAGACCCATGTGTACTGACTTATGTACTAGGGCCCTGTGACTTCTCTTCTGCTGCCTTTGAGAGCCCAGAGCACTGGGGAGACATTTGCCAAGTGTCTGCTGTGTTCCAGCACAGATTGTGTTCCGTCTCACATTATGGCTCCCTCTTGTGGGGTCCTGCATCCTTCCAGACTGGAAGAGGCCACTTAGATTTGAATTTTAGCCCTGCCAATGAGAGCTTGTGGGTCCTTAGGCACACACCCTCTCTTAGCCTCTCCATGACTCAGCTTTCTGATCCATGGGAGTAGATAACAGGGCCTGGGTCAAAGGCTGTCAGGAGGAGTACAGTGGGTAGTACCTGGGGAGCATTTAGAACAGTGCCTAGCGTACAGGCCCACCTACGACACACTGCCTGACTCAGATCCCTGACAAGGCCATTCGTAGTAAGAATTCTCAGTGTTATTTCTGTACCAGGCCACTGCAGGAAACCTTGTCAAGGGAAAGAGCAGCCCCTGCTGGTCCAAGATTGTCCTAGTCCTGAGCTGAGCCTTGGATTCTGCCTACACTGCATACCGCTTGCCTGAATGATTCTGTTTCCCCCACACTGTATTAGCCTTATGGAAAGTAGACTAAATGTCAAGTCTCCCGGCATACTGATAGTTCTGGAGGGGCCTAGGGAAGTCACGCAGACCCTAGGCCTTGCCTTGGATTCCAGAGAACTAGCCTGTGGACTTGGGAGACTAGGAGCCTCGTGCAGATCTAGGCATATCATGAGGTCAGCAGTGTCTCTCAGTGGCAGCAGTTGGACTCTCAGAAGTGAGGAGCACAAAAAAGTCTCAGATCCATTGATTTGGAGTGTCGTGTCCTGTCCCCCTCCTGCCCTGTCTTGTATCAGTGCAGAGAAGGAAATAGATTGCTCAAGGTATTGCCTGGAATGGAGCTCAAGTGGACTAGAACCAGATCTCTCCCCTCCCTCTAGCCCAGGATGCAGAGTGGTGTGTGTGTGTGTGTGTGTGTGTGTGTGTGTGTGTGTGTGTGTGTGTGTTTGCAGTCTAGGTAAGGTGTCAGGGATCCTCAGCTCCCCAGGAAACACTTGGTGCTATAGTACTATCCCAGGACACTTCTCGTCTTGTTCTCACCCTTGGCTGTGGTGGAACCTGAAGATGTTTTTCTTCAGCCTCTTCACTCTCAGGATGGATGAACTGTGCACCTGACAGCAGAAGAGCTTCGACAGTCTTTATTTCAAAAGTTATCTGAGGGCTAGAGGGTAGTCCAATAGGTGGAATGCTTGCCTGGCACATATGAAGCCCATAAAACTGGGTGTGGTGCTGTATGCATGCCTGAAAACTCAGCACTTGAGAGGTAGAGGCAGGAAGCTCAGAAGTTCAAGTCACCCCTGACTACATAGTTTGAGGGCAGCCTGGGGTACATGTGACCCTGAGTTGTTTTTAAATTAAATTCCAGTCTTATGATTTGACCAGTAAAGACTTGGGAGTCAGATGCTGGGGTGAAAACCTGCTAGCTCAGAGAGGATGAGGAGCAACCAGCTGACCTTCCTCCTTAGCCAGCATCCCAGAAAGAGAGCTTCTCTTCCACCATCTCAAACTGAAAAAGCTGCCAACAGTTGCACAAATCCTAAATGATCTTAATAAAAACCTGGAGCCAGATATCAGGGTGAAAGCTGAAAGATCAGAGAAGCAGAGCAAGCCACCGCCACCACCTCTTACCCACCAACTTCTTAGCCTGAAAAAGCACATGTTCCTGTCTCCTCCCACCTTATATTCCTTTCTCTGCCCAACCATATCATTTCCTGTCTCAACCTTCCTAGTGCTGGGATTAAAGGTGTGTGCCACCACTGCCTTGCTCTGTTTCTCTTTTAGACTGGATTAATCTTGTGTAGTCCAGTGTGGCCTTGAACTCACAGAAATCTCTGCCTCTGCCTCCTGAATGCTAGGATTAAAGGTGTGTGCCACCACTGCCTGAACTCTGTGACTAACTCTGTGGCTGGCTCTGTCCTCTGATCTTCAGGCAAGCTTTATTTTCGAGATTACAAACAATATATCACCACACCCTCCCTACTACTTCCTGTGCATTTCTCTGTCCATTTTCCTGATTCTATGGATGTTTCCTGTCCACTAGTTGCTGGCTCCGGCTCTTGACCCAGTGTTGATTTTATTTAATTATCATAATATTGAGGTTTACAGTGTGATCAAATATCCCACAACAACCCTGCCTCCCCCCTCCCCACCCACCCACACATGAAAAAAATAACCTTTAGGTTAGCATTCTTTTATTTGTATGGAAACAATTGAGTGTGTTGGTAGTAACATGCATTGTGTGTGTGTGTGTGTGTGTGTGTGTGTATGTGTGTGTGTGTGTGTATTCTTGTATGATTTTTATATTCTTGTATGATTAAAGCCTCATGAAGGCTCACAAGAGAATAGTGGGAGTTGCCTCTGGGACGGAGAAAGGACCTTGAGAAGGAAGGAAACTTGCTTTTAATTGTCTACCTTTTAGTATTTTAGTATTTCTCTCTCTCTCTCTCTCTCTCTCTCTCCCACACACACACACACACACACACACACACACACACACACACACACATACACACACATACACACACACACACACAGGTTAACATTTGTGAGTACTGTATATTTAATTGAAGAAATACATTGATAAATGTCACGGACAAAGGGGAAGTCAACTGGAATCCTGTATAGAGCATCATTATGGTATCTCACCTCTCCTGCGTGTCTATGTGTGTATACATGTGTGTCTATTACAAGCACATGCAGCGTGAGCTGACACTGTCCTAATGGTAGAAAGAGCAGGCATCACCCAGGCTTGTTCTCTTGAATCACTGACTGTGCTATCAGTGGGGTAATGGTGTTTGGGAGTTCGGTAGACAGCAATTGGTTTTCTGCGTTACCTGGTCCCCTTGGGGTCTCTGGCCTTGACCAGGGCGTGGTCAGCGGACATGTGCTGCCCTGTGTCTCTGAGTGTGTTGGGCCTAGTCTCTTCCCCCTCTTCCCCTCTTCCCAGCTGCAGAAGCTCCTCCTGGCCACATCCTCCCCAACAGCAAGCTCTGACGCTCTGAAGGAGGGGGCCACCTGGTCCCAGGCCAGCCTCAGGTCCAGAAGTCAGCGGCCTTGTGTCAAGGTATTTCTGCATATGCCCAGAAGTGACCTGGGCCCCAGAGGGGGCTGTCAGCGGTGGCTTAGGAGTGGCAGATTCAGTCTACCTCCGTTTCTCCCTCTGTCCTCACACAGCCCTGGTTGAGCCAGAATCCTTGAAAGCAGCGTAGTTTGAGGCTCTGGAAAGAGCCCTGGACTCTCCCATACTCGGATGCTTCAGCCTGTGAGATAATTGACACAGTTCTTGACACACATTAGAGCAGGGACAGGAAGGTGTGGCCCCGGGACAGATGGGAACAGGATCCTCACTGGTTGTGGAGGCCATAGTCCATGTCATATTAAGGTTTTAGGATTTCTTTTCTGAGGAGCCACTGGCCACTTTAGAGCTTTGCACATAAAAGGTGATACCCACACCTGTACTGGCCCTATTTTTTGAAGGATCTGCAGAGGCTCCAAGGCTGGGAGCCCTGTAGAAGTCTAGCTGTCTCTTTCTTCCTCAGCAACTCAATTTGGCAGGTACCAGCCCTGCTGGAGGCTGGGGATGAAGTGAAGGAACAGGCTATTCCCACAGTCCTGGAAAAAGACGCTGGGTCTGCTGGCTACCCGAACAGGCAGAGGGAGAAGAATTGTGCCCCTCCCAGCTCACTCTGGCCTATTTCCTTCTCCAGGTGGATGGCACCCAGGACAAGAAGACCCCCCCCATGCTGCGGTCTCAGAGTCGGCCTTGTGCAGAACTGCATAAGCACCTCACCTCGGTGCTGCCCTGCCCCCAAGTGAAAGCCTGCTCCCCAACCCCACACCCAAGTCCTCAGCTCCTCTCCAAGGAGGATGAGGAGGTGGAGGAGGATTGCCCGAGCCCCTGGCCAGCTCCAGCCTCTCCCCAAGACTCCCTAGCACAGGACAGGGCCGACCCCAGCTGTGCTCAGGCTCCCCAGGAGGATGTGAGATCCATGGTACAGCTCATTCGCTACATGCACACCTACTGTCTGCCCCAGAGAAAGCTGCCCCAACGGGCCCCAGAGCTGGTTCCCCAACCCTGCAGCAGCCCCTCCAGGCAGATCCCACCCCGGTCCCGGCATCCTCCCAAAGCCTTCTGGACTGAATTCTCCATCCTAAGGGAACTTCTGGCTCAAGACGTCCTGTGCGATGTCAGCAAGCCCTACCGCCTGGCCACACCTGTCTATGCTTCCCTCACACCCCAGTCCAGGCCCAGGCCCCCCAAAGACAGTCAGACCTCCCCTGCCCACTCTGCCGTGGCAGAAGAGGTGACAATCACTGCTTCCCCCAAGAGCACTGGGCCTAGACCCAGCCTGCGCCCTCTGAGGCTGGAGGTGAAGCGGAATGTCAGTCAGCCTGCCAGGCAAAAGCAAGAGGAAGAGGAGGAAGAAGAGGAAGAGGAGGAGGAGGAGGAGGAAGAGAAAGAGGAGGAGGAGGAGGAGTGGGGCAGGAAGAGACCAGGCCGTAGCCTGCCATGGACCAAACTAGGGAGGAAGCTAGACAGCTCTGTGTGCCCGGTGCGGCGTTCCAGGAGACTGAATCCAGAGCTGGGCCCCTGGCTGACATTCACCGATGAGCCCCTAGGTGCTCTGCCCTCCATGTGCCTGGCTACAGAGACCCACAGCCTGGAAGAGGAACTGGGCAGCCTCACAGACAGTCGTCAAGACCAGCAGCTCCCCCAGGGATCCCAGATCCCAGCCCTGGAAAGCCCCTGTGAGAGTGGATGTGGGGACACAGATGAGGACCCTAGCTGCCCACGGCCCCCTTCCAGAGGTAGTCTGTGGTCCACACGAGAGGGTGGGGTGGGCATAGCATCCCCACTGAGAGCTGGGAGCTCTGCATTCAAGTCCGCCGTTGTGTGTGTTGAATGAGTTTCCATCTGGCTGTCCGCTGCCCTCTCTGTACAATGGGGTATTGGGCAGGTCTTCAGGAAAACATCTGCTCTTGAAGATTTTCATCCTGCATACCAAAGCACTGCTTAATGAACAAAGAACAAGAGGCCTGCCTCCATAGGGATAGGGGAGAAGGCCAATAAAAAAAAGTGAACAAAGCTAGGCATGGTGATAAACACGGTACTTAGGCAGGGGCAGGAAGATAGGGTTTGAAGCCAGCCTGGGCTACATATAGAGATCTGTCCCAAATAAAAGAACCAACAGAGACTTCAGGCCGGAGGCTCAGCGCTGTTTAGTGAAGGACCCCTCACCAGAACCATCTAGAATCACAGCTTGACCCTGGGGCCTAGGGCTCAGAAGGCCTGGCCAGTGTGCTGCACTCTGTGGCTAGCAGGGGTTGCCTCACGGGGACCCAGCAATGCCATGTGTATTTGAATTGTGCCTGACCGTTCCCTTAGATGACCAAGGCCACACATCATATTAAAGGGCAGCTGAAAATGTGAGGACTCCCCCAAGGGGAGAGTATTTGTGATGGTGTATATGGGGAATCTTATTTTCTTTTTTCTTTCTTTTCTTCTTTTCTTTTTTTCTCTTTTCAGACTCCCCCAGGTGCCTCATGCTGTCCTTGTCACAAAGGTAGACTTTTTCAGAAGTTATTGGTATACTCTTCTGTGAGATTAAGATTTGTGCATTTGGGTGGGAGGTCATCAGCCCCTGAGGCCCCAGCCCTGTCCTCAGGCCCTGCCCTGATTGTCATCTCGAGCCCTCAGGATCCAGACTCCCTCCAAAGGGAGTGTGTTTTAAAGAGGTAGCCCCTGCAAGCTGAGGGGAAAGATGGAGGGTCAAGCCATTTCATAAGCTGTCATCTCCAGGCCCCTGAAGTGTGTTCTTTGGGGTGGGGACTGGAGGCTGACAGTGCTGTGGGACTTGAAGCAAGTTCCTTCTCTCTCCGGGCCCGAGTTGCCCTGCATCCATCTTTGCCCATACCTTCCCAAACTGCGACTTGAGTGTAACAGCCAGGCCGGGGCCCCCTCAGCAAGCTCTCTCTAGGCCCCTTTCCATGGCAGAACCAAGGCCTGTCATAGTGTCCTGTGCTCTCCTCAAAAGTCTGGGGCCGTGGAAGCCTCCTACTGACCAAGCCTCTTCCCTTTCTGTCCTCTCTGCCTCTCCCAGCGACCCTCTTGGCAAGAAGACCTTTGAGGAGTCCTTGACGGTGGAGCTTTGTGGCACGGCAGGTGAGCCAGGCGTCCAGCCGGTGGGGTGCCTGTGGGGAGCTGGCAAGGCCCTGGGCAGGAGCGCTTCTGACCTCATGAACTACCCTAGCCTTGAGATGCATGGGGAGCAGGCTGGGAGGAGGGGTCAAGGCCCAGGGCCAGCCCTTCCACGGCTGGTTCCAGCAGCTGAGGTGATACTGAGTTCAAGAGACAATGATACAGCTCTGGAGGAGACTGCAGTCTGGTGGGGCTAACCCCTTCAGGAGCCTGGTGTGCCGTGTGCTCGTTTCATAGTATGAGCAGAAACTCAGCTGAGACAAGAGGGTCAGTGTGGCCTGTGGGGGTACCCAGCACGGCGTCGGGGAGCGGGCCACTGAAGGGTTGGAGGATCGACAGGCGTTGGGAAGACAAAGCCGAAGGGTGTGCTTAGCCGAAGAATTGGTATAAGTAAAGACATGACAGAGCAGAAGTTCGGGGTCCATCTGAGTTGTCCCCCGGTCTGGCCAGAAGGAACAAGTAGGGATGAAGGAAGAGTAAGTAGTTCCCCAAGGACCAAAGCCAGAGGTGCCTGGTGCTATCCGATAGGCTTTGGAAGAGAATAAGGAGTGGGCGTTTTAGCAAGTCCCTGCGGCGCGCTGGAGAGAACAGAAGGCATAGTCAGATCCAGAAGCATCAGGAACACCGAGGGGGTGGCCGTCCCAGGGACACGTGCCTGCTCTGTGCTGGGGTACTCCTGAGGCAGGGCTCTCGGCACGATGGGCTGTAGAGCAGGAGCAGGCGTCTCTGACCTGGACACATCAGCTGCCGTTACCCAGTCCCAAAGGGATGGCCAGTGCATCTCATCTCATGCCAGCTCCTAAGAACAGGAGGACTCTTGGGCTGCATGCGGGCTTCGGCAGCAGTGTGGTGACCAGTTAGTTACGCCTGCCCTCCACCTGTAGGAATGTTGTGGCATGCCGCCACTCCTTTCTCCTCTCAAATGGAACTCTTTTTTTTTTTTAAAGTATGTATATTTATTTACTTATTCTTTTTTCTTTTTTATATTCCTCCTTATTTTTTAAATGAGCATAATATTTGCAGTTGTAACCATTTTTAAGTTCACAATTCAATGGTATGAATTACATTCAAGATATTAATTACACTCGTGATATTCATTAATTGCACTCATGATATTAATTACATTTGTGGTATGCATTGGTTACATTCACAGTATTCATTCAATAACTGTATTTATGATATTCATTAATTACATTAATTGTATTGATTTATTACATTCATGATATTATGTCCTGATACTACTGTCCGTTTGTGGGGCTTTTCCATCACACAAAACAGAGATTCTGTACTTGGAAATCATTGTCCTATATTCCTTCTCTATCTTGAGATAACGTCTAATCTTTCTGTCTCTATGAATTTGTTGCTTTTTGTTTGTTTGTTTTTGTTTTGTTTTGTTTTGTTTTTTTTTTTTTTTTTTTGGTTTTTTGAGACAGGGTTTCTCTGTGTACCTTTGCACCTTTCCTGGAACTCACTCTGTAGCCCAGGCTGGCCTCAAACTCACAGAGATTCACCTGCCTCTGCCTCCCGAGTGCTGGGATTAAAGGCGTGCACCACCACCGTCCGGCTGAATTTGTATATTCTGTATATTTCATGTAGTACAATTCTATAGTATCTGCCCTTTTTTTGAATGTAAAAACATTTTATGTACAACTGCAGGAGAAATAATACACAGATAGCTTGAACATAAAAACAGGTTGTGATTCAAGAGTCCAGGGTTATTTGAAACTGGAAAATGTCAAATGGAACTCTTGTGTCCTCTGAGGAGACCTGCCTTTTCCTCACTTATTTCTCCCTCTTGCCTGGGTAGGACTCACTCCACCCACCACACCTCCATATAAGCCCATGGAGGAGGACCCCTTCAAGCCGGACACCAAGCACAGCCCAGGCCAAGACACAGCTCCCAGCCTCCCCTCCCCTGAGGCTCTTCAGCTCACAGCCACCCCAGGGGCCTCCCACAAGCTGCCCAAGAGACACCCAGATCGAAGTGAGCTCCTGTCCCACCTGCAGCATGCCACAGCCCAGCCAGTCTCCCAGGCTGGGCAGAAGCGCCCCTTCTCCTGCTCCTTTGGAGACCATGACTACTGCCAGGTGCTCAGGCCAGAGGCTGCCCTGCAGAGGAAGGTGCTGCGGTCCTGGGAGCCAGTCGGGGTCCATCTTGAGGACTGGCCCCAGCAGGGTGCCTCCCTGCCAACTGAAACGAAGGCCCCTAGGAGGGAGGCAGACCAGAGCTGTGACTCTACCCCCAAGGACAGCATGCAGCTGAGAGACCATGAGATCCGTGCCAGCCTCACCAAGCACTTTGGGCTGCTAGAGACCGCTCTGGAGGATGAAGATCTGGCTTCATGTAAAAGCCCAGAGTATGATACCGTGTTTGAGGACAGCAGCAGCAGTAGTGGCGAGAGCAGCTTCCTGCTGGAGGAGGAAGAGGAGGAGGGAGGGGAGGAGGAGGATGAAGGAGAGGACTCAGGGGTCAGCCCTCCCTGCTCTGACCACTGCCCCTACCAGAGCCCACCCAGTAAGGCCAGCCGGCCACTCTGTTCCCGCAGCCGTTCCAGTTCTGGCTCCTCGTCCTGTGGCTCCTGGTCACCAGCCACCCGGAAGAACTTCAGGTATGCTTGGTGGCCCTGGGGAGAGGGGTGTCGGAGCCCCCACTAGCTGCCAGAGGGGAGGAGCCCTGGGGACTTGCTTTGAAACTGAGGCTGCAGCTCTGCATGTGGCTCCAGTCCTAGTCAGAACCCATGAGAGGGGCTCCTCAAGAGTTGGGCTATCCGAAGCAAGTCAAGGCTGGCAGGGGACTGTGGGAAAGAAAGAAACCCACCTTCTGGCTACCTGTGACTTTATATCCTAATGACCCTGGCACTTGTTTCCTGCTTTGTATTTGTCAAGAGATAGATTATTTTTTATGAAAATATGCAGACCCACATAGTTGAAAAGGAACATGATGTTAATATGTTAAAGAAAGATCAGTGTAATTTCCATTTATGTTCTGAAAACACCCTGATGAAAGCAAGCTGAAGTTTACTCCCAACGCTTGGGAGGCAGAGGCAGGCAGATCTCAGTGAGTTCAAGGCCAGCCTGGTCTACAAAGCGAGTTCCAGGACATCTAGGGCTGCTACACAGAGAAACCTTGTCTTGAAAAACCAAAGCAAACAAACAAACAAAAACAAAACAAAACGCTGTAACAAAAAGTAGCTTGGAGAGAAAAGGGTTTATTTCATTTTACAACTCTCAGGTCACACTCCATCACCTAGAGAAATCAGGGCAGGAGTTCTAGGCAGGAACCTGGAGCCCGATTTGGGGGGAGAGCAGTTTCTACTTGTTCTGATCACAGAGGCTAATTGGATCAGCTTTGTCCTTGGGAGACTCCAGAAAGATTTGGGAGGTTCCCAGCCCTGTGCTTGAGGTTACCTGGGCGGCCACTAGATGGTACCCTTCAGCCTGGAGCAGAGCCCTGGAGTCACGGGGGATTTATTGAGATGCTGCTGGTATGCTAAGCATCTGAGTCTGTGGGTGTGGATAATTGGCATTTCTAATACACTTTCATAGCACTGTACTCTGAGGTCAGAATTCAGATCTTATAGATACCTTTTCTTAGAGTCAGCTTTACATGCACGCATCTCTACCAGCTACTCTTAGCTCTTCGAGGACCCCAAGAAAGCAAAGGTCCCTCTCCTCATCAGGCTCTACATAAACATAAATTCTAGAGGGTTCATGGACGTCCTACAAACCGGTGTGGAGAAGTGCTAAGTTATGTGTTACTATAAATGGCTTCCCCCGAGCTTCCGCTTACAAACCGTCGGCACGGTGGTGCCTCACAGAACTCCCAAGGCTTGCTTTCCGGTTCTTCTCTCCTTCCCCAGGAGTTTGCTGGGACACACCTCTCTGTGAAGGTTTGTTCCTAACGCCACTGGCGTTTCCCCAATGTTGAGCCCATCCACCAGGGCCAGCAGGAGAGTTCCTGAGCGCTTCCTTTTCCCACCTAGCCCATGGATTTGAACAGGGTCTGCATTCCAGGGGCCCAAAAATTGAGACCAGACCTTCCTTGAGACTATGGATTCATAATTTTCTCAGATGTAGGCCCAGTGTAAACCTGGTGATTGCTGTTCACTGGACAGAGTGACTTGGTTATCCCTGCTCAACTGCCCACAGAGCTATGTATCTGACAAACTTGGAAAACCACAGCCTTCTCTAGACAGACTTTCTTTCCCTTGGCCATCAACAAGAAATGCGTTGAGGCCAGTCGAACAATGCCAGCTCAATCCCGTGACTTCCAGTCTCAATCTAGAAGGAAAGGGCTCGCCAACTCGAATCTCAGTGAATGATCATCCTTGACTGAATAGCACTTGAAAGTTAGCGAGTCACATCGCCTTCTGGTATCCCGTTTAGTTCGGCTTCACAGATGCAGTTGGAGGACACGTGTATTTCTTAGCCCCATTTTATAGATGAGGAAACTGAGACCAGAGACGGTAAATAGAAAAAAAATGAGCAGTACTAATCTAACCTTTTTTTTTTTTTTTTTTTTTTTTTGGTTTTTCGAGACAGGGTTTCTCTGTGTAGCTTTGCGCCTTTCCTGGAACTCACTTGGTAGCCCAGGCTGGCCTCGAACTCACAGAGATCTGCCTGGCTCTGCCTCCCGAGTGCTGGGATTAAAGGCGTGCGCCACCACCGCCCGGCTAATCTAACCTTTTAAGTGCGTTTTATTTACTGCTCACCAATGGCCCAGGAGGTGGGCACAGTTGGCTGTATACCTATGTTGCAGATGAAGAAGTAAGTCGAGAGGATTGGTAGACTGGCCCAAGGTCACTCTCCATAGGGAGGTAGTAGAACCAGGCCTGACGCTCAGGCTGTGTGGCCCAAAGCCTCATGTTCTTCTCTTTGGGGGAGGGCAGGCCCTGGGTGGGGCTGCAAGCCCTGAGAACAGGAGGAGATGATGAGCTCTACCATGGACGTGCCTGTTCCAGACTGGAGTAGGAACTATCAGAGAGCAGTGATTCTAGCTGAGACCTGATTCCAGCTCTGGCTTCTCCCATTTCTAGTTCAGGGCAAATCCTAGCTGGAACCCGGGACTCGGACTTTCTTTTGGAAAATGGGAATATATAAGACCGTCTGGGATTTTTTTTTTCCATCCAATCAATAAGGCAAGGAAGTGAAAGGGCTTTCTAACAGCAGAGAAAGGTAAGGCCTGGAAGGTCAGGGCCAGAATTAGAACAGGGTGCTTCCCAGGGCTCTCAGCCTGGGAGCCGGCAGAGGACAGCTGACCAGTGCTCAGTCCCACAGTCCGGGCTGGGTGTCTGCAAGAGGGGGACTGAGCGCTGTGCCCTGTTTGTTCCCTGACAGACGTGAGAGCAGAGGGCCCTGTTCAGACGGAACCCCGCGCGCCCGGCATGCCAGGAAGCGGCGGGAAAAGGCCATCGTAAGTGATCCGGGGTCCCTGGGCCTGGAGTAAATGGGGTGTCAGGAAATGCTAAGCCCACCAGCCTTCAGCCTCTGCCTGGGCAATAATGGACTGTAGCCTGCGTGCAGGACACAACTATTTATCTTATTTGAAAGTAACAAGGGTAGCCAAAAGCCGTTAAGGGTAGCACCGTGCAGAGCCAGCCCTTGACTGGCCTTGGTGTGCAGCGGGTAGCCAGTTAGGACTCTGAGGGAATCTGAAAGGATCAAAACAGAGGATGGTGGGGGTCAAGCAGAGATAGGCTGCGTGGGCCAGGTCATAATCTGCGTCTTCTGTGTGACCTTGGGCAAGTGCCTAGCTTCTTTGAGCCTCAGTTTATTCATCTGTACATAAGAGAGTTGGGCCTTATGCTTCATAAGGGGTCCCTCAGTAAGCTTGTTCCATCCCCCACCCACCTGGAGGATCTTCTCAGAGCTTGTCCCTAGACGCTGGGGTTACCCACAGAGCTGTTCCCGGCAGCCTGCAGGGTGCATGGGTCAGTCAGTTACGTCATTGCCCTTGAAAGGAGGGAGGGAGGGTACAACAGAAACACAAAAGGATGAGCAGCCTCACTGGTTGCCATGCTTTGGGAGGTGGGCGTGGGGGGGTGGGGCACACAAATCCCAGAGGTACACCGCCTGTGGGATGAGTACTTAAAACTATAGGTAAAGCCAGGCAGTGGTTTTAATCCCAGATCTCAGGAGGCAGAGACAGGTGGATCTCTGTGAGTTCGAGGCCAGCCTGGTCTATAGAGCCAGTTCCAGGACAGCCAGGGCTGTTACACAGAGAAACCCCATCCCTAAAACAGAACAAAACAAAAAACAACAACAACAAAACTAAGGCCAGGTGTGGTGACACACACTTTACATCCCAGCACTTGGGAGGTGGGGCTCTGTCCACAGAGGCAGGTTGGTCTCTGTCTGGTTTGTAGGGGTCAGAGTACACTGGAAAGAGAGAAGGAGACGGGCATTATGGCCGTCGGAGCCACCATTTTTATCTTTGAGTTTACCAAAGATAAATGTCAGGTCTACATAGTGGGTTCCAGGCCAGCCAGGGCTACATAGTGATACCCTATCTCAAATGAAAAAGAACAAGACCACAAGTGAGCATAGTCTTCTTGGGTTCGGTGGTTTGACACCTGGTATAACCCTAGGCTTACAAGGGACAGCAGTATAAAGACAGATTAAGTCCCTACTCCCGTGGTTGAGACAGAAAGGAGAGAGAGACAACAGACTCACAAGCAAAGAAAAATTGATGGGATTAAGAATTGGTATAGATTCCCTGAGATTGATAGAGTCCTGACTAGAATTTGGACCATTGGGGGTAACATACTTACATTGGTGACTTATGAGGGGTATCCATAAGGAGCTTGGGGACAAAGTGTACAGAGCCTAAGAATGGGGGGTAGGAGGCAGAAATTCAGGAAGTTATCAGGAGTCTGGGGAGGAGGTGCTTTCTCTCTGGACCTGGATAGACTCCAGTGTGTCAGAGCAGGCTCCAGGACCACATACGTGGTCCTATTGTAGAGCCTTGCTCTGGAGTTTCTTTCCTGCCATCTGTGGTTGGCGGATGGGCTGTGTGGAGAGCTGCTGGCTGTTCCTGTGCATAGAGAAAGCCTGTCTGGGCCACACACTGCCTCAACCCACAGGTATCCAGGCAACGGCCGCGAGTCCATCACATCACGGATCTCAAGGGAGAGGCAGGAGGTTGCAGCCTGGCCTCCCTGATCATTTCCTCTGCCTGTCTATTCTGCATGCCCACTAGCATCTAGCATAGAGCTAACCTCTCCTGAAGGTGACTTGTGGGGTGTCTGTGTCATGGCTTCATCCAGCTTTCCCTGGTAAATTCCAAGATAAAATGGTGACTCCTTCGGCTCTAACGCCCATCTCATTATCTTTCCTTCCAGTGTACTCTGACCCCTACAAACCGCCAGGTCCCCAGTGTATTCTCCGCAGCTTGCAGGCTCAGCACAGGGCTGAGCAGAACATGTCTGATGGTGCAGCGCCTCTCTGCCCAGGCGCTGCTTAGTCCCCGCATGCAGGTGCCTCCCCGGGGGCATGCTTCTTCTCCTGCACTCAGTGGTCCCTGCTCCAACAAGGGCAGGTCCTTTGGTGTAGAGGTTGTCGTGGTCCTCTCTCTCTGTCACTCTCGCAGGGTTGCTGCCCAGCCAGGCCTAGACAGAGACTCCCTGAGAATAATGACGGGGTCCCCTCTCGGTCCTCCTTGAGCAGGGTGAAGGCCGTGTGGTATACGTCCGAAATCTCTCCAGTGACATGAGCTCTCGGGAACTAAAGAAGCGCTTCGAGGTGTTTGGTGAGATAGTAGAGTGCCAGGTGCTGACAAGAAGTAAGAGGTAAGCCGGAAGCAGCTGTTGCACATGGGTGGGGGCAGGGAGCTGGGAGAAGGACCGTGATGACTATAAAACTGGTGACAGCACCATGTCCTGCTGATGCGTGACCCGGTGCCAGGTAGTTTCCATGCTTTCTGTCCTCCGAACGTTCGGCGCGACTGAAACCCAGCCATTCTGCTGCTTTCCTTCCTGGAGGAATCTCAGAGACGTTAACAGGGAAGAGCTGGAGCCCATGTATGCTTCAAGGCCTTTGTTCCAACAACCACGCAGGCCAGGAAGTGCTCTTTGACTGCTTGAAGATGCGCTTGTTTGGGGACTCACTGTGGCACGTCTCCATGTCACTCACAGGCCTTCCTTCCTCTGCAGCAAGTCCTGGGCCTGCAGTCTGCTAAGTAGGCCTGGCTGGTCCTCATTTACCTAGAGGAGCAGGATTTTATCTGTAAGGGAATATGCAAAAAGCCAAGTTGCCTATCAACGTTCAATATAGATGCCATGGATTTTTCAAATTATCTGCTATCGCACCTGCAAATTAAGTTATTAGGATTTTAAAATTCTGATTTAACAGAAATAATCACAATAAAAAGCTTTAGCCAGAAAGTCATCTCATGTATAACTGTCATTCCATACCTCCTATCCAGTTAGATAGCTACTGCTCTAGTTTGCTGTCCATTGCTATGACAAACACCATGACCCAAAGCAACCTAGGGTGGAAAGGTTTATTTCAGCTCATTCCTTAGTCCATCATGAAGGGACGTCAGACAGGAACTCAAGGCAGGAACTGAAGCAGAGGCCATGGATGAATGCTGCTCACTACACTGGTTCCCCATGGCTTGTTCAGCCTGTTGTCTTATACAATGCAGGACCACCAGCCCCCGGATGGTACCACCCACGATGGGATGGGCCCGCCCCCATCAATCGTTGATCAAGAAAATGCCCCGCAGGTCTTCTTACAGGCCAGTTTGATGGAGGCAGTTCCTCTACTGAGGTTCTCCCTTCCCACATGACTCTAGCTTGTGTCAAGTTGACAAGAACTAACCAGCATAGTACTATTAAAATAGAAATAAAAAGAGCTGCTAAGGGTGTGGAAAAATGGAGCCCAAGTCAGGATTTCTATTACTGTAAAGAGACACCATGACCACAGCAACTCTAATAAAGGAAAAGGTCTATTTGGGGCTGACTTACAGTTTCAGAGGTTTCATGGCAGGACATGGTGATAGACAGACATGGTGCTGGAGAAGGAGCTGAGAGTCCCTACATCTGAATCTGTAGGCAGCAGGAAGAGCAACTGAGACAACACTGGCCTGGCTTGAGCATTTGAGACCTCAAAGCCCACCCCCAGTGACACACTTCCTCCAACAGGGCCATACTTACTCCAACAAGGCCACAGCTCCTAATAGTGCCACTCCCTAGGAGCCAAGCATTCAAACACATGAGTCTTTGGGGGCCATACCCATTCAAACCACCACATTCCACTCTTTGGCCCCATAAGTTTGTATCCATAACGTAATGCGAAATGCATTTAGTCCATCAAACGTCCCTATAATCTATTACAGTCTCAACAATGTTTAAATGTCCAAAGTTTAAAATCTCTTCTGAGATTCATGTAATCTCTTAACTGTAATCCATTATAAGATGAAAATAAAAAAGATCACATGCTTCCAACATAATGGCATGGATATACATTATCACTCCAAAAGGGAGGAAAGGGAGCATAGTGAGGAAATGCTGTGAGTAAGCAAGACCAAAACCAGCTGGCCAAACTCCAAGCTCTGCATCTCCATGTCTGATGTGAAAGCACTCTTCAGATCTCCAACTCCTTTCAGCTTTGTTGACTGCAACAACACACTTCTCTCTTTTCGCCTGGTTCCACTCCATGTTAGCAGCTGTCCTTGGCAGGTATCCCATGGGTCTGGCATCTCCAACATCTTGGGGTCTCCAAGGCAATCCAGGATTCACCTTCACAGCTTCACACAATGGACTGCATGCAGGGACACCCCTGCCACACACCTGCTTTGGGGTTTTCTTAGTCATGAAGGCAAATTTCAAAACCCCTTTCTTCTACCCTTGGCTCTAAAGGCAGAACCACATGGCTGAAGTGCCAAGTTCTGCTGCTAGCTGTGGCTGGAACATGGCCCTCTTGTTTGATTACATCTTCACCAGCTTTCTGTTTTTGATGGTTCCCTTCACTGCCTAAGCTTGGCTGTTCTGGAACTTGATCCATAGACTAGGTTGGTCTCAAACTCAGAGATCTGCCAGCCTCTGCTTTCTGAGTGCTGGGCTTGAAGGCATGAAACATCACACCTGGACCTAAGCTGTTCTTTAATTCCTTTTCACAAGTTGGAAGCTTAGCTGAATGGGGTTGTTGCCCTGAGGTCACCACTCCCTGTATTCCATTTCTTACTCTGTTTATCTCCTTGAACACAGGACTTAGCTCCATTCCACTTCCTGGTACCCCTTTCTTCCTCAAATTGTACATTTTATATTTTTCCTTGCTCAGCTTGCTCCTTTTCATTATAAATCTTCGTAAGAGTCAACACTAGTAACCACATGACAGAGTCTGTACTAGGCTGTTTTGAGATGTCCTTTGCCAAAGCAATTAATCCAAAACTCTTCACTTTAGCCTCAGGCAGACTCTTCAGATAAGGGCAAAAAGCAGCCACATTCTTTACCAAAATATCACAAGAATGATCTAGGCAACACACTTAAGTTCTTCTCCTTTGAAACCTCTTTTTTTTTTTTTTTTTTTTTTTTTTTTTTGGTTTTTCGAGACAGGGTTTCTCTGTGTAGCTTTGCGCCTTTCCTGGAACTCACTTTGAAGACCAGGCTGGCCTCGAACTCACAGAGATCCGCCTGGCTCTGCCTCCCGAGTGCTGGGATTAAAGGCGTGCGCCACCACCGCCCGGCTATCCTTTGAAACCTCTTGAGCCAGGCTCCCGTGGTTCAAATCACCCCTAGCACCACTGTCTTCCAGGCTCCTACTAGGGTGGCCCGTTAAGCAGCGTTTAAAGCATTCCACTGCTTCCCTAACCCAAAGTTCCAAAAACATAGTCAGGCCTATCACAGCCTATACCCTGGTCCCTGGTACCAACTTTCACCTTAGTTAGGGTTTCTGCTGCTGTGAAGAGACACCATGACCATGGCAACTTTTATAAAGGAAGACATTTAATTGGGGCTGGCTTACAGTTTCAAAGGTTTCATGGCAGGACATGGCAGTGTGCAGACAGACATGGTGCTGGAGAAGGAGCTGAGAGTCCTACATATTGATCCACAGGCAGTAGAAGTTAAAACTATGTTACACTGGCCAGACTTGAATTTATGAGACCTAAAAGCCCACCTCCACAGTGACATACTTCCTCCAACAAGGCCACACCTCCTAATAGTGCCACTCTCTGTGGACCAGCATTCAAACACACGAGTCTCTGGGGGCTATACCTATTTAAACCACCACACCAAGTAAGGTATTAGTGGACTATAAGGTGACATCACTAATATTGGAAAACATTATAGCAGTTTCTTAAAATAATTGTAGAACTATTATGTGATCTAGCAATTCTACTTATGGGTATATAGTAAAATATTTAAAAGAATTACAAAGACATAGGTCACAACAACAGAGAAGTGAGAATAATCCAAATGTATATGTATAATGTGTATGTATATACAAATGTATATGTATAATGGAGTATTATGCAGTCCTAAGAAAGAAGCAAAACACGCTTCACATAGATGAATATATATGGATATCCATTAAAGACAGTATGCCAAGGAATGGGCTAGTCCCAAGAAGGCCAATGCTGTTATGTTTACACTTATACCATGTACCTAATAGAAACAGAAAGTGAAGTGACTGCTGCTGCTGGAGGCCCAGGGATATAATGGAGATGCTAGTTAATGGATGTAGCTTTACTGTTTAGGAGATGGGATATTTTCTGTAGATCCCACCAGGTGTGGCAATGCACACCTGCAGTCCCAGCATTTGAAAGCTAGGAGCATGAGGACTGAGAATTTGGGGACAGTTCGTGTTACAGAGCAAGTTCAAGCCTAGCCTGGGCTACCTAGTAAGGTCTATCTCAGAAAAACAAACCTAACTGAACATTTTTCTGGAGACTCGTTGTACAACAATGTCTATCTACTTAACACTACTCAACTATACAGTGAAAAGTGGTCACTTTTATGTTATGTATTTTTACCAGTTTTTTTTTTTTTGAGTCACTACACAAATAGAAGTTTGCAAAGTTTTCTGCAGTCTTCATGATTGCATGCCGACATAACATGGAAAAACAAAGCAATCTCCAAAGAAGAGGCTCAGTTTGTTAGGGTTGTTAAGGTGTATAGGCTCCTTAAGGGGAGTCTGGACAGATAACTATTTTCAGACATTCATAGACGCAAAAGGGTTCAGGTTTGGCCCTGATTGAGACAAGCATCAGTACTCATGATTCCTGTACATGCTTGTTAGGACTCTCCCCTCTTGGTCCATCCTGAGTTGTAGGAGCTTGGAGAGGTTGGGTGTCAGAGGGCTCTCTGCTTATTGGTAGAGCTGAACTACCAGAGCATTGCTGGCTGGAGGTCTCCCTAGCCTTGACTCCTCCCTAGGTAGGCTTAACTTTTGGTTGCTTCTAGAGCTCTAAGCCCACCTCTTAGCAGCTAAGAGATCCCGGGGGAGAAGTAGTCACTCTCACTGTTCCAGTAGACATCTGGGATAGGTCTCTGGGGTTTAGCTTTAGGTGTTAGGTTCATCCTTGAATAAAAGCACCATGTTCAGGGAAGTACTATCATTTGACTTGATGCTCTCTGAAGAGGTAGGGAGTGGATACTATGCAGGCAAACTAACAGATGTCATCCGTGCCAGTTAAGAGGGGTCTGAAACATCAGCAATATCAGGTAAAGGGAAGGACAAGTTGGCATCAAGGAAATGGAGGCTGAAGCTGTCTTTAAAGAGGCTAGAGTAACGGCTCTCATCCTGCGGGTCCCTACCCTTTGGAGAGCCGGCGACCCTTTTACAGGGGTCGCATATCAGATATCCTGCACAGCAGATATTTACATAATGATTCATAACAGTATCCAAATTACAGTTATGAAGTAGCAATGAAAATAATTTCATGGTTGCGGATCACCACCACATGAGGAACTGTATTAAAGGGCCACAGCATTAGGAAGGTTGAGAACCGCTGGTCTAGCGGATGGCAGAGTGGGATGGATGGAGAGGAGACATAACAGAAGCAGGGGAATGGTGAGGGAGGTAGGGGAGCATCAAGAGCATTAGCTTCATGGTCAGGAGGTCTCGTCAGAGTCCCTGCTGAGCCATATGCCATCGGGTAGAACCCTGAACTCCACAGAGCCTGTTTTACCTGGGAGGGGGTGTGTGTGGACATGACAGTACCCCCTCATACAGCCATCTGAATATGATACAATGCATGGTGTCCAGCAGCTGACAAACATCATTCAGCTGCTCCTGTTGCCATTCACGCTGCAGAGGTTGGCCTATCCAATGTCATTATCCCTCATCGATGAGAAGGGGGCATGTGACATGGTTTTCTGCTCCTCATCCTACGATGTGTGCTCTTATAACGTCCACCAGACTGGCCTAGAAACATCCTCCCTTACCCTATCCTCTCCTTCCAGAGGCGAGAAGCACGGCTTCATCACCTTCCGGTGTTCGGAGCACGCTGCCCTGTCCCTGAGGAACGGCGCAACCCTGAGGAAGCGTAATGAGCCCTCCTTCCACCTGAGCTATGGAGGGCTCCGGCACTTCCGCTGGCCCAGATACACTGACTATGGTAAGAGAGCAAATCCTAACTGTATTTATTCTCGAGTCCCAGAACATGAGGCACAGTGACTTCCTTTAATAACACCTAGACTGAAGGCCCCTCTGGACATGGCCCTACATCAAGCTCCTGCCCGTTGTGACCCCACAGCAGCTTTGTCTGTGGCTGCCATCCTGCTTTTGTTCTGGCCTTTGGTCCTGTGAGTGACTCTAACCAGTCACCTTCCTGTTCTCACAGGAAGGTGCAGTCTGCGTGCTCAGCCTCTTAGCAGCACCATGGCGGTCCTGCCTCTTTACATTCCTTCCGTGGTGACCCTTGAGCAGGCAGCAGCTTTGCCGTTAATTGGCGGTGTGTCACCGTCATCACGGCCTTGCCATTTGTGTACAAGTTGGTGAGATCCAAAGAAATAGGACCTGGAAAAGAATTGTTTGTAGAGGAGGGCCCATGGTAGCCTTCATGATACAGCACTGAGCATCAGGGGATCTAGGTGGGTCCCGGGTCAGGCGGCACTCCACCTGGCCGCAGTCCATTCTGAGACTCCGTTTCCCCATCCCTATGAGATAGGTTTATTAGCATTCTTCTGTGACTGACTAGTAACGGTGTGTCGTGTCACTAGTTGGTGGGAGGGTGTTGACGAAAGTCCATTTCTGGGATGTTGGCTGGGAACAAGTTGTAGGGTGTTCTGTTCAGGGGCCCATTGCTCTACAACAGAGCATCTTGTCAACGTGAAGAAAGGGAAAGGTCGTCACAGCAGGATGGCAGTTGACACTGTGGCAGTCCCACATCCCTGCACTGTGACAGCCTGGCCGTCCCAGCTCCGTGAGGTGGCAGTCCCACATCCCTGCACTGTGACACCCTGGCCGTCCCAGCTCCGTGAGACCCACCCTCAGTGGCAGATTTGCTGGTTGGGGCTGAGTTTCTCACTGCCTTGCCTCTCCCTGACCCACAGATCCCACGTCAGAAGAGGCCCTGCCCTCATCTGGGAAAAGCAAGTATGAAGCCATGGATTTTGACAGCTTACTGAGAGAGGCCCAGCAGAGCCTGCATTGATATCAGCCTTAACCTTCGAGGAATACCTCAATACCTCAGACAAGGCCCTTCCAATATGTTTACGTTTTCAAGGAAATAAGTCTATGAGAAGGAGAGCGAGCCAATGAGCGAGCGTGAGAGAGAGAGAGAGAGAGAGAGAGAGAGAGAGAGAGAGAGAGAGAGAGAGAGAGACTTGAATCTGCTGTCGTTCCCTTTGAAAAACAAATCAATGTTTACATTGAACAAAGCTGCTTCTGTCCGTGAGTTTCCATGGTGTTGACGTTCCACTGCCACGTTAGTGTCCTCGCTTCCAGCGGATCGTCCTGGGTGCACCTCAGAGTGCTGTCAGTCACCCTCTGCCCCTCCCCTTCCCTCTCCCCCCCCCCCCCCGTCCCCCACCCACCTGACTTCCTTCTGTAGACTCGAGCTATGTTCCCCATAACATCTTCTGTCTGTAGCGTGTGATGATGAAATTGTTACTTGTGAATAGAATCAGGATTAGCAACTCATTTTTTAATTGAAAAAAAAAAGTATATCCTTAAAACAAATGTATTTATGGCTCAGACATCCTGTGCCTGGGATTATCGTATTGCTTCCTTGATTGTTTAACTATGCACTGTCATGAGGTGTTTGCTACTGAGCTGCGCTGCTCCCCTGGTCACGTAGTCCTGGAGGTGCTGGGTGGCCACTAGGTCCCCAGGAATGATTGGCTTGCAGTCACAAGTAGGAAGAGTGGAGAGAGATGATCCAGGTATCCTCTACCAAGCCCTGGTGTCTTTTATTTTGAGTGTGTTCCATTCACGTTGTAAGGAGAATCCCTTTCCCCTGTCCGACTCACACTTGGAGAGTGCCTGTCTCTAGTGCTCAGAGCCATGAGTGCCCGGAAGGAAGGGGGAGCAAGCTGCATTAGACCCATTCCACAGGGAAAGAGGACAGGGCCCTGTGAGGGTGAAGTGTCTTGCCCAAGGTCCCATGGCCAGGGAGCATGCCGAGCAGCATCCACATCACGCCTCCTGACTCCAGGCCCCAGCCTGCTGTGGTAGTTAGCATTAAGATGCTAAAGTCAGAGGCTGGAAGAGTGGAGTTAGCTGAGTTGAGCAATAGGCTAGAAGCCTCATAGCTTAGCTGAGAATTAGGTCAACAGTGGACTCACCAGCATTAAGGCAAATTCCAGCTTCATTCAGCACAGGCTCAGGTGTCCCTCAGCTCTGATCCTCAGTGTCCTGTGACTTACCCTGCCTGTGGATACCCCTCAGGGCTTTGAGACACCTGCCCATGGTGCACAGGCTTCCCCTAGGAGCAGTCATTTTGGGCAGGGAGGGCAACTGGTAGTCCCTCCCATATTCTGCTGCTGTCCTTGCTGTCCCTCCTCTGTAAAGGTGCAGAGTAGGGGGTGGACAGGTCGGGGGTGGACAAGGCACTCCCAAGGAGCATTCACGGTGGGCTCCTCTTCAAACCGTTCTTGACTACTGTCAAAGCCATATCCAGTGTGACATTCTCCGGGTTCCCAGGGGCCCTTCATGAGGGAGAACCAGCCAGGCAGTGTCCACTCTAACACTTCATATAGATCAGTTCCTCCTTGGTCTTGTGACATTTTCTTTCTTTCATTTTTTCCTTCCCCCGCAATGTTCTGCCAAATAAGAAAGTTTGAGAGTAAATGACTCATTAAACTAACCAAGCTAAATTAATCTGCTGCTAATGGCAGGCTTATTCCTTTGAGAATTGGTGGTCAATTGTGTTCTTTTTAAGATTTTCAAATACCTCAGTAAAAAAAGTGAGCCCATGATCTTATGCTTGGTGTTAGGAATACTCTCCACCCACAGATGAGGCTGGAAGAGACTGACTTTAGCAGAAATAGGGAAATAGAGGATCTGTGTGTCAAATCCATTGGCCTCCCTACACCCCAGTTTCCCTTTCTGTGAGATAGACTGAGGGGCACAGTTCGACAGCGACGTCTTAGCTTCTGCTCAGACAGTGTCTAGTCACAGTCGTGACTCCCACATCCTTGGTTAATGCAGTCATACTTGATTGAGCATAACACTAATTTTTTTTTCTGAGCCCGGTTGTACTATTAGACTCCTCAACACAGTACTCTGGGCAGGTACTACGAATTGGTTGGTGTTTAACTTATTTGGCATCCTGATCTAGTGGTAGTCTTTGGAAGACTACCATTGTAGAGCCATATGCTGGCTGGTTTTTATGCTGACCCATCCCTGTCATGACCTGATCCCTGGAGGGGAAAAAAATGCCCTTGAAACCATTACTTGGCAGAAGACTTCCCAATACTGTATAGAGAGGGGAAGGGTAGAATAGCAAACATGAATATAACTGGAGAAGGTGTGGCTTCTAAGCATAGATCCAAAATGGGACTTTTCACAGCACGGACCCAGTCATTCTGAATTCCTTCATAGTTGGTCATTGCCTAGCACATGGTAGGCACATGGAAAATGGGGATAGAACAAAACCAAATTAAAGTTCTTCAGTTGCATCCACTAAAACTTGGGCTCTAATCACAGGGGAAAGTGAGTGTTGGTTGAAATCAGCTGATGGGAAAGGGACTAGATTTAATCTGGAGAGCCATTTGAATTCTGACCCCACCAAGAACTTCTTTTGTGGCTTTTTGGGTCCCTTCTTCCTGGGCTCTTCCTACTTGCTCCCGCCATTACACTGAGCCAGATGGGTGATTGCTGGGGTAAAAAAAAAAAAAAACAGATTCTTAGCAAACAGTAAGTCTCTCTCTCTCCCCAGCCAGGTTCAAATTGGAGCTGCTCAGTCAGTTCGCTCCAAGACACTGAGATGTTGGCTCTTGAGCAAAGCAGACTTGAGCCTGGCTTTGATGCCTGATATTCCAGAGGTCCGTGCTGAGAGCTCATGTCCACCAAGGGTTTCTAGTATTCTCCACTTACCCTCTCATAAAAAAAAAAAAAAAAAAAAAAAAAAAAAAAAACAACAACAGGGTACCAGCTCGGCAGATGACCAGTCCTGTAGATTATCTCTCTCTCTCTGGAAGATTCACTCGGTGCTGCATACCATTTACCAAGGAGACTGTCAGGCCCCTCCGAGACCACGAGTCCATCTTGGTCTCTTTCCCATCGAATCAAGGAGGAACCCAGAGGGAGCAGCTGCTATTGGCAACCATCTCATCGTAGCTGTCCTGATGTGTCTCAATGATGTTTACCTGTGATTGCCATACAGCTTCCTGTAGACTGTGTTGGCCGCCGCCCAGGCAGGGCAGGTTCCGCGTCGTCTCTGTGCTGGGCTGGTATCTTTTCTAGAAATGTCCAATCCAACCACTAAGTGGAATTCTTCCATCTCCTTCCTCAGTCACTACAAGACTGAATCAGAGTCCTCTCTCTCAGGGGGGCGGGGACTCTGGTTACTGAAGGTAAATGCATCAAATCGGTAAAGAATATGAGTGGATGGAATGCAGCTAAGGTCCCTACTCCCCATCCCCCCCCCCAAACATTGTGGCTCCCACTAGAAAAGTGCTTTGAGTCAGGAAGTGCCCATCCTATGCCTGTGTCTATATCTCTTGATGTGGTATCCTCTGGTGGACAGCAAGACTCCAGGGGTGGGAGGTGTGCTCCGAGCCAGCCACGAAGACTTGGCCCTCAAGTCCTAATGTGGGAAGACGTATAGTAAGAAGTCTTTTGTGACCTCAAGCCTTACAGGTCAATCAGTGTTGGGGGGAAGATGTGATAGGCCTGCCATGGCCACTGTGCAGGTAGTAAATGGGGAAAAAGTGCAGGCACCTCAGTCCTGGAGTTCAGTTCACCTCTCAGCTGACCCTGCTGCCGCAGAAGCAGGGCACCTCTCTCTGAACCCAACTCACCCTTGGAGGGTGTGTGATGTCGTTCACTGAGGTCAAAAGTATTTTCCTAAACCTTTGACCTTCAGCGGTCGAGATCAGCTTGAGAAAGCCATATCCCAGTGTCACGCGTAGCAGTGGAAAGGGATTGGGTGTGTAATAGTAAATAGAGTGAACCTGTTGGTTTCATTAGCCAAAGAAAAGGGATGCCTTCACCCTTCCCACTGGGGCAGAAGGAAGCTAACTGGTACTTATGTGCAATATGTTGACGCTACTCTCCAAGTCCCTGAGGGTTTTGCACACAGATGGGCTCCAGGGCTGCTGTTTGAAGAGTCAGGGGATACAGGGTAAGTGCCGGGAGAGCCTGGGATTAAAAACTTTGATGTACAGAGATGGCCTTGGCCTAGAACAGATGGGAGCGTGGGCGGGGCGCCCCTGATACTAGCTGCGGAACACCGGAACAAACCGGAAGTAGCTAGTCAGACACTTTGCACTAGTTGATGAAAGCACTTTGAGAAACCTGTACACTTCAGCCTTGCTCCACGTTCTCCTCTGGCCAATACGTGTACCCTTTATCTATGTGAGGTGCTGTCGTAAAGGCGGGGTGAGGGGGTAGGGAAGGGGGCTAGTGTGAGAAAGGATACGGGCATCTTCCAAGGCAGCAGCCACAAGAGCCTGCAGCTAGCCAGCCAGTCCTTGGCTGTCCTCTCCACTAGAAGCCCACGAAAACAGAATGATACGGGTTTACATCTTGGTACCCACTTTCGTAAAGACTAAAAAAAACAGCCTAGCCAATTGTAATGCTTCGTGGAGCGTCCTTTCCCTCTAAGTTTCTTACTTGCTCTCTGACCTTAGGCCCCTGTTCCCTGAGCTAGCAAACGAGGCTGCCCCATGTTCACAGCATTCTCATCCTGGGGCCGGCCGGGGGAGCCCGGAGCCCCACTCTTTGGCTAGCTCAGGGTGTGTGTTTTGGGGGGAGGAGGGGCACTTCCGGCAAGGTTGTCAGCAGGAGGAGATCCACATAGCCCTGGCCGAGGTGCCTTACAGGAAGAGGCTCGCTTGCCAGGACAGACTCAAGCCATAGTTTCTCGTGGGGATGGTAAGGAATTAACCCCTCGTTGGGCTGCCTGACAACTTCCAGTCTTGCGTTAATTAGCCTTGTCGTTGTCCCCACCGAGCAGCTTTGAATCTGAATGTTGTGACCACTTGGCCGTCTCTTGCTTGCTTGCAGACAATATTAGCAATACACTTGTTTTCCCCAAACAGCTCGACTTAGACAGTTTTCGCACATTGCTTTCAGATGATTGTAAAAACACATGGGGCAGCAGGAGGCATTGGATCACACTGCATATGTTTAGGGCAGCTTTTGTTTTTTTTTGAATCTTTAATGGTATAGCAGCAGTGACCAAGCCTTTGGGGATTTGGGGAGACAGATTTTTCACAAAGCCATTTCATCAGAATGCCTTGTACTTCGGAAGGAGTACGGACATCCAAATACCCAAATTGAGGGGCTTGCAGCATATGGTTTTGTAGATGGTTGTCTCTACTGTACAGCAGCTCCTCCAAAAGGTGTTCATGTGGCTCCAACCCCTCCGTGCCATATTATTTTTTTGTCAAAGGATTCTCCAAGGAAGCCTTAGCAAGCCTCCTTGCTCCCTCTTGCTGGCCTTGGGTAGTATCCTTGTGGAGGGGATTAGCCAGCACTTTGCCTTATCAATGTGTGGTCACCAGTCTAGTGCTCAAAGGCTAGTGTCCACTGGCCACCATGATGGAAGGCAAAATTAAGTTCCTTTGGTCAGTCACCATGCCGGCCAACATTAGCTTGGCAGTGAAATAACAATGACATAAGAGAGTTATCTTATGTGTTCAGTACCAACTCGGAACATTAGCAACTACCTAGATGCCTCTGCGGTCCGGGAAGTCACTAGTTAATTCTGTGGTAGAGGAGATGGGGTTGAACCCTGTATCCAGGTGTCCAGAGAGGTTTACTGTAACTGCAATACTGGCAGGCAAGCTGCCAACCTTGTTAAGTGAACCTCTGCTAGGTGGCTTACATGGGACCTTTGGGACAAGTAAAGAAGTTGGGTATGAGGATTGGGGGAGAAGGGGCCCTGGCCATGACCTTTGATATGGTCCACTGAATAGCCAAACAGGTTTTTTGTTGTTCTTGTTTTTGTTTTAATTTTTTGTGTTTTGTATTTTGTATTTTAAAATCTTGTCAGATTTTTTATGTTAGGAATAATAAGTCATAAACTATTCCCACCTTGGTTTCTGAAGGGGTGTTCTGATTCCAGTTGAAACAGGTTGGAAATCTCAAGGGACGCATGGTCTGGGAGTACATGGGACAGGGCAGTGGAGCACCTGGGTTTCCAGGTAGCTGCTGGGGACGATGACCATCCGGGAGGCCACAGTGCACTCGATTCCAGAGATTCACACCCGCCTCCTTGTCTCCTGAGTCCTGTTAGCACTGGCCTGGGCACATGCTTCCATCAGAAGCAGCAAGACTCCCCAGCTCCCAAGCCCTAGGTTTCAAGAGATGATGTCGGTAGCTAGCCTTAATTGACTGGGCAAGGTGGTTCCTGTGCTCCCTCCCAGCAGTTCCAAATCTTGGACTCAAAACCCTTTCTCTTAGTGTGACCATGCAGTCTAGAGAATTTTGAGCAATAGGAAGCCAGGGCTTTCCCTAGCTCTGTGACAGGGTCAAACCAGGGAATGGCTAAGCTTGAGAGGTTTTGTCATACCCGGGGTACTATGGTAGGGGGCATTACGTATTAGGGAGCTCAACAAGGTAACTGTAGCCTGGGGTATGTGAATGTAAGGTTGTGTTTGTGGGTGTGCGTGCGTGCGTGCGTGCATGCGTGTGTGTGTGTGTGTGTGTGTGTGTGTGTGTGTGTGTGTGTGTGTTACATTGATGCATTTCTTGAGAAAGGTGCAAGAATTTCACCTATACAGAGGGACACATCTGCTTTATTATTTATAATAGAAGCTAAATTTTAATTTTTTAAAGGACACGCTAATGATTGAAAATCGAGTTTTTAGTTTTGCTATTTTTTTTAATTGGTAGAAGATTTTTATATATTTTTTTCCCATTTCGTTGGGTTGTGTCCTTATTTATATAAATACTTTATCCGTGAGCGGTGAGGAAGAAGACTTCTTTGCTCTTAATTATTGTGGTTGTCATTGTCCCTATTTTATTTCCGGTGTGATTTTTCTGTCTTACCTTCTAAATGAGGAACTGTTTTCCTGTATTTGTACATTGTCAGATTCTATAGTTTCGTAGATAATTTAACCAAATTGCTCTATGTATTATTATTCTGTGGGTATAAAGTTCTATTTTAACGTCTGTAAATACTTCAGAACTGGTTTCTTTTCTCAGCTCCTTCTGGGAGCTATTGTTTACATCACAAAAAACTGTAGAATCTATGCTCATGTACTGTAAATAGTGAAGTGATCTGCTTATAAATTACCCGAACAAATACACTATGGAAATTAAAAAATACCACCCACAGACCTGCTCAGGGGTGTCTTTCTTTATTGGTCCTGTGAACTCATTTTGTTGGGACATTCTATTCACCAAATGAAGAAGAGCATCCAGATCCAATCTTGCCTCAGAAAAAGTCCTGGCCAATGTTTGGTTTGGTTTTTGTTTGTTTTTTTATTTGCCCAGTGCTGGGAATTAAATCGAAGGTCCCGTGTGCTGGTACCATGGTGTTAGACAGTTGAGTTCAGAACTATGTAGCTCACGCTGACCTCAAACTTACAGTTCTCCTGCCTCAACCTCGTGACTAGTAGGAGTATAGTTACAACCATGCTGGGTCCCAGCCAAGGGCAGCTCTCCCAACCTCATCAGATAGAGTGATAAAAGCCAAGTCCAACAGAACTGACCCTTTATGCTCCGGGGCAGCTTCTCTCCAGTACTGTCATCTCTCTTCTTCTTGACAATGATTAAACAAAGGGACAAGCCTTTGCTTGAAAAGCCAGTGTCCTTAGTATCACTTATAACAAAGCTGGAAACAGCTCAGAATTAAAAGACCAGAGTCCAGGCACATCCTGCTGTAACGCAACCTGAACAGAAGGGCAGGACGTGGGCTGCCGAGGCACAGGTAGATCTGCAGTGGAAGTCACAGGATGTGTGTGCCACAGGCAATGTTCTCTGCTCTTGGACATCTTCCGGAAGAAGGCAGGGACCTGGGCTGTAACTGGACCCAGCCCCCTCCCCTCTCTGGCCTTCAGTTTCCTGCTTTATTTAAAAAGGGGCCTTAGAGTAGGCTTGTGGTTCATAAACAGTTGGAGGGAAGTGGTGCACTTCCCTCTCCTTGAGGCAGTCGCTTTAATTATAAGCTCTGCAGAACCAACCCCCAGTTTGGGAGGAAGACATGTGTAAGAGATAGCCATTTCCGGAAGGCGGGTGGTGCTGTGTGCCACCCCAGGAGGGGAAAAAAAGACAGTTAACAGAATATGGGGCAGCTGATGCTGTCTTAGCAGCACGATACTGGCAGAGGGAAAAGAAATGAATTCTTGCAGGTTCCAAGAGCCACACTACCTGCCTGTGCCTGCACACAGTGGCGATGGTGATTAGTCCAACTCATCTCACAGCCTCTGGGTCGAGCAAGGCATCACTCTGAGCCTTAAATTTAGCCTTCGTTAGAGCTTTTAAAAGTGGGGTGGGGGTGGGGGGATGAGAAACAATAGAAATAAAGTTGGAATTGGAGCAAATATGGCAGATATGCTTGGCAGCCTTTTGTGCGTGTTGGTATATTGACAACTTTTGGGTCCTTTTGCTGATGTCAGTTTAGTTATGTGGATGCTAACTCGGCCAGGCGGGGCATACTTAGATTTGGCCTGGTTTTTTTTTGTTGTTGTTGTTGTTTTTGTTTTTTGTTTTTGTTTTTTTTGTTTGTTTTTTTTTTCAAGACAAGGTTTCTCTGTGTAGCTTTGGTGCCTTTCCTGGAACTCACTCTGTAGCCCAGACTGGCCTCGAACTCACAGAGATCCGCCTGCCTCTGCCTCCCGGAGTGCTGGGATTAAAGGCGTGCGCCACCACCACCCGGCTGATTTGGCCTGTTTTTAAGCCAAAAGGGCCCGTTAGTTGAACAGAAGGTCTCCAACTGAAATGAGTGGGAAATTCAAGACTAAGAAGTGGATCTTAATAAAAGCAAGCAAAAAGAAACAGAATGACTAAATTCGGTATGTGACATCTGGATTAAGTTGAAGCGCACCAGCACTTGTGTGTGTGTGCCCGTGAAGGTAGGTCCTAGGACAGAACTCAGGTCATCAGGCCTAGTGGGAGGAGCCTTGACTTGCTAAGTCATTGTGTTGACCCCCGAACTCTTTTATGATTTTTGTCCTTACTCTTTGGTTTTGTTTGAGACAAGGTCTCTAATTTGGTCTCTATGTATAAGCAGTGATGTGAGACCAGCAAGAGCCTACGGGCCTCGAGCTAGAATGGCCTTGCACGGTTGACCCATGTTGGGCAGTGTGGCCAGGCTTTTCTACCTCAGGCCTAGGTCCCCTTGAGAAATGCAGTGTCCTGCATTAAGACACCCCCGAAGAAGCTGTCTGCTGAAGCCCCCCACATCCTCCCTTTGTGGCTCATCAGAATACTCTCCACAGCTGGGGATGAAGCGCTCACCTTCTCCATTCAACGGTGCTGTGTTAGAAAATGCTCTGTTCCTTTAAAGACACGTGAGTTTGCTGGGTGGTGGTGGTGCACGCCTTTAATCCCAGCACTCGGAGGCAGAGGCAGGCGGATCTCTGTGAGTTTGAGGCCAGCCTGGGCTACAGATTGAGTTCCAGGAAAGGCGCAAAGCTACACAGAGAAACCCTGTCTCGAAAAACCAAAAAAAAAAAAAAAAAAAAAAAAAAAAAAAAAAAAAAAAAAGACACATGATTTTTTTCCCTTGAGAGAGGTTCTTACTGTATAGACCAGGACCTCTTGAACTCTCCTGATCTTCCCGTCTCTTTCCTTGGTACTGGGATTACAGGCATGTGCTGCCATGCCCGGTAAGATGTGTGTGACCTTCAAAGATGCTTAATTCCTCCAAAGACTACAGAAGAGTGAAGTGATATGTGTGGAAATGACCTTTAAATATTTCAGCTAAGTCATGGGAGGTAGTGAACACAGAGGTAGGAGGCCTGAGATTTTAAAGCAAGCCTGGGCCACATGGTGGGATCCAGAAAGAAAGAACAGGAGAAAGAAAGGAAGGAAGGAAGAGAGAAGGGAAAAAATTGAAAATGAATGTAAAAGCACAAATATGACCAAAGTTTGATGTTCAAATCTGAGGGTAAGTTTGAGTATTTGATGTATAATTCTCTACTTTTGAAATTAGCAAGAAACTTTTACAATAAAACACTAAATTATAAGAACTTACAAGAATTATAAGCACTATAAGAACAAAAAAAATAAAGTAAGTCAGTATATGAAGTCTAGAATATTGGGCTAAACTCAGTAGACATTTCAAGATTAAAAACAACCTCTAAACCAGGAATGGTGGCGCACGCCTTTAATCCCAGCACTTGGGAAGCAGAGGCAGGCGAATCTCTGTGAGTTCAAGGCCAGCCTGGGCTACAGAGCGAGTTCTAGGACAGCTAGGGTTACACAGTGAGTCCTTGTCTAAAACAAAAGAAAAAAACAAACAAAACTGCAACAAAAACAACATCTAAAACCACTTGATGATATAGATGCCCGCTGTATCTTCCATCAGCTCTCAACTCCCGCTTCTTTAACTGTCCAAGAAGACACGGGGCTTTCCATTGGCCTGGGGGACCTCTTCCTTCCTGAGGGCTCTGCCACCTGCCAGCAATGCCCTCAGCTACTGGATGCAACAGGACTTGGATGCGGGTGCGCCCCCTGGGCTGGGGTTTCCTCCCGGCTGGGTCCCGGAAGCAGCTGTGAAGTTCAGACAGGAAAGCACACAGCAGGTCAGACAAAGCTACCTACAGCAAACTTACCTTTGACCTGTTTGGACGAAGCTCCAGGCTTAGCATGTGCAGAGAATGGGGGGGGGGGGATGAGGGAGGTGTGGGGGGGGGGGACCAGAAGTGCCTCCCCACTGAGAAGCAGCAGCCCAGGGTGACAAGTGGCAACCATGGCCCGGCTGCCGGTGAGACACAGGGAGCTGTGGGGACTGACATCTGGGGGAGAGCCCCGCACTGACTGTGTGGTTTAGCCATAATACTTCGCCTCCAGCAGCCTCAGTACCCTCAGACTGGAGACAACCGTCCCGGCCCATATGCACTGCATGCTATGCTGCATGTGTGCCTGGCCAAGACCCCACCTCGCCTCCCCTGCCCACCTTGCTTGGCTGCCTGCTGCTTCTGCTTCTCCTCCTCCAGCGCCTTCATCTTGGCCTCATACTCGTCAGCCAGCGCCTTCCATTCCTTGCGGTTGTTGGTTATCCCATCCAGCATGGGTGTGATTTCCTCATGAAAACGGGAGAATTCCTGGGGGAGGAGAAGTGTGGAAGAGACAGAGGAGAGGGACGGAGGAAGTGAGAGGCAGAGAGAGAGAGAGAGAGAGAGAGACTTTAAAGCAGGGGCCATTGCCCCAGAACCCTGGCTCACGGTGGGGTGCCTTCTGCCTGGCACTGGCCCCTTCTATCCCCTGCTTGGAGCCTTCCTGCATGGCCATTCCTTCGGGGTGAAACGTATGTCTTAGCATGCCATTTGCTGGTCCGTATCACCATCCAGAAGCCCCCACAAGTCTCACCTCATGAGAGTGTTCCCTCTCATCTGTGAACTTCCTACAACTTTTCTCTTTCTAGAACACTCTATCCTTCCCCTTTTCTTTGAGGTCCCTACTTCCCTCACACTTCCTCAGGGAAACCTTTTCTAACCCCCCTAGGTAAACCGAGTCCCCCCCCCCCCCGTTGCATGTCCCCCAAACCCTCCCTAATCAGCTCCCACTTCCTCACAATGACTCCCTCTGCCTCCCTCTCCCCGAGGATGACACCTGGAGATGGCAGGAACGCTGGCTGCCTCATCCCCTCGCTTGGTTCCGGCTTAGCGCTGGTCTAGACCTCACAAACACTTCATAAATATTCACTGACTGAAACTGGGTGATTGAGATGATTCATACCACCTCCTGCAACTCTAGGGACTGGATAACGACTTGGGCAAAGTGCATTGCGATCTGTGGGGCCATTTATTTCCTTGGGTCTTTTGAGGCTCCCCGTGAGGGATGTCTCATCACTCCTGCATCCATAGGTGAGAGAATGGGTTGCAGATTGGCAAAGGAGGTTTGCTGAGGTGAGGAAGGTCCATTGCCGCAGGGGCCAGTCAAGGCCTACCGTGCCCAGAGATGCCTACGTTATGGTCTAGGCTCTACCAGAAGCTATGTGGCTTTGGGGCGGCCACTGCCAAAGATCACTTTCATCTAGGTAGCAGGGTAGTAACAGCACCCACCCAAGAGCAGTTGGGACTAAGTCAGTACCCAGGAAGCCTAGCACCCCCATTCATAATAATACCGCCGGCAGTGTGAACATCAGCCGGGTTGTCCTGCTGACCGGAGCCCTGCTTGGTCTGTGTGACAACAGAGACACTTGGCCCCTCTGGGATCATTTGTTTGTCTTCCCTGCAAAGGACCTACAGCTCATATTGTAGAAAGCCCTGGCCTGGGTGTTAGGTGGCCCAGCTCCAGCCCTGCTGCACAGGTGGGTCCAGAGGTGCTGGCCCTGCCACTTACCATTTCTGTCCTCTCTCTCCTTGTGTATAATGTGGCCAACAAATAATTAATGGGAGGTGGAGCCGGCATGGCAGTGTTATACATTATACATTATACACGGTAGTATATGCATTATACTAGTGCTTTGGAGGCTGTGGCAGGAGGATCATGAGTTGGAGGTCAGCCTGGGCAACATAGCCAGACCATGTTTCAAAAATGAAGAGGGGGCAGGTGGATAGTGGAGATGGGTTTGGCAGTGGTGTGGGCCTCTCAAGAAGAGGACTAACCGTGACAAGAACTCCAGGAGAAATTCTGACACCTTTTCACAACGACATCGTGTCCATAAAAGCATGCTTAGTCATTTGTCCCATGAGCATTTATTGAGCAAGTAGAAGGAACCCAGCTCCAGGCTTTAGCCAAAAGTACCCACCATCTGCCTCTATAGCCCTGTCCTGAGAACCACGTGCCACTGGAGGTAAAAATGTTTCTACAAAGTGTTACGTGCTTGCCAGGGTTCATTATCCCTGCTGGCCAATGGACTCTACGAAGCCTGCCTACCTTATAGACAAAGGTGCACACAAAGTCAATGAAGCCGACTTGAAGCTTGGGGAGCTCGTCTGCCTTGTTTCTGTCCATCATGGGCTGTCGTGGGAGAGAAAGAGTTAACATAATGACATGGGGCAACAGTAGGGATTTACCCAACCTAAGAAACATCCTTGCTAAAAGAAAAAGAAAAGAAAGAAAAAATATGAATGGTGGTACAAGCCTATAATAACAAATTCAAGGTCATCCTGGATGCATAGCGAGTTAAGGCCAACTTTCAATGTGTGAGACTCTGCTTCAGAAATAAAATAAAATAAAAGCCTAAACTCACCAGATTTGACTGGCAATTTGGAGAAAATATAGGATACAGAGGGGAATGTGTTAATGAGCATACAGAATGTAAGTGACCAAGCCAGAGTGTGGGAAAGAAATACTATACAAACAGACACACTGCCTTTATCAATGACATGGGGGTGGAAAAAAGGGGGGAGAGGAAGAGAGAGAGAGAGAGAGATGGGAAGAGAGGAGAGGAGAGGAAAGGGGAGGAAGAAAGGGAGGCTAGAGCGACCTGCGGCTGCTTCCATGAGGCTTCAGAGCTGGCGCCACACTGTTTGGATTCTGATTTGGACAAATCAACAGAATTCTTTTTCTCCGTCAGGGAAAAGGAGCAGAGACTGGGAGTAAGTCGCTGTAAAGTATTACTGTTGATGTTGTAAGCGTGAAATGCTGGTGGCCCTAGCTTTGTTTTTTATCTGTAATCAAATCTCTCTTAGAGCTCAAGTGTTTACGAAGAAATGGCTGCCTCTGGGAGTCACACAAAATACCCCAGCCAAGAGAAAAGGAAAAAACAAAAAAAACAAAAAACAAAAAAAAACAAACCAACCAACCAAACAAACAAACAAACAAAAGAACCAAAAAACAAACAAACAAACAAACAAAAAACGGGCAGCGGCGTTGGGCCGAACAGGTAAAGCAAGAATGGCAGGTTTCGCTAATTGTTGACTCTGGCTAATGGTACAACGAGATCGCTAACTTTTCAGTCAGCGTTTAAAAATATTAAGAAAAACAAAGAAGAAAGACAGTGGTGCTCATTGCTCGGCCCGAGAGGTTCTAGAGATGAGTCTCAGTAAGCGGCCTAGAGACCGTTCTTACGATATTTTGGCAAAGCTGGTGGCTGCTCTTTGCCCTGGTCCTAAAAATCTGCCTGGGGCAAGGCGAGGCAAGGGAAGAGAGGATGGAGGAGGGAAGACCTCAAATTCTAGGGACTCTCAGAGTCCCTGTCCACGCTCCCCCTGTTCCACCGGCCTTTCCCTCTCCCTGGACTCCTAAGGGCTAACGTGGTGATCATGCACCCTTGGTGCCCTCACAGTTCAATCCGTCTCCATCGGTGGTTTGTTCTTTTTATTCAGCCTCTCCAAGCCTTCTCCCTAACTCCACCCTTTGGGGACAGTTTCTAACTGTCAGAAGCCAGCTGACTGACCCAGCCAAGTTAGCTCTCAGGGGTGAGATAAGTTCCCAGATAGACAAGCTTCCCCTAGCAGGTTCTATCTGATTAGGACAGAGCCCGGGGAAGTGGCCCCTACACCTCTACATCAAGAGCCATCAGTTGGTGACCACTGGTCAAGCTCTACTTAGCTGAGGGAGCTAAGGACCCACATGTTGACAGCAAGGCCCTCAAACTGCAGAGGGGTGAATAACGGTAGAGCACGTGTTTCTGGTCCCCCCCCTCCCTGTTCTGTTCTCAAGGAATGAGGTTGAGGGTGGTCTAGGAACCATGGGTCATCTCAGAGAACCACTGTGCTAGTGAAAGATCATCCTGAGGTGAGGTCACTCAGCCCTATGTCATTGGTCACATCTGTGGGGCGGGAAGAAATTGTACTCGCCGACCCCCCCCTCCCTACTCACAATGGGATTCTGTTGCAGCACGGTGCGCTCCAAGTCACCTTGCTCCCAGAATTCAGCAGCCACCAGCAGAGCTACCTGCAACAGATGGACCCGATCACATAGGCAGAGCCAGAGCCAGACCCTCTATCCACTCCCACCTCCTGTGTGTGTGTGTGTATATGTGTGTGTGTGTGTGTGTGTGTGTGTGTGTGTGTGTGTGTGTGTGTGTGTGTTTCTTTTTCTAGATGGGGTTTCTCTGTGTAGCTTTGTAGCCCAGGCTGGCCTCGAACTCACAGAGATCCGCCTGCCTCTGCCTCCCAAGTGCTGGGATTGAAGGCGTGCGCCACCGCCGCCCGGCCCCTCACTCGTGTTTCAAGCTCAGCAAAAGAGGAAAGCCCACCCTTCCCTCATACTCCTATGTGTCACTGGAGAGACCAAGAGAGTGGAGTTGGGCTACAAGGGTCCAGCCTCATTAACTGTGGTCAGCAAACTGCCCCGGGGCAGAAAGTGTCCCTACCTTGCTTTGCACCTCCCAGGGCTTGGTGATGGCTGAGAGGTCACAGGCGGTCATCATCATGGCCCTGCACACAGGATACTCTCCATCAGTCCAGAGCCACTTAAAGCCCCAAACGCCAAATAACTCAGTTTCCCTCACTTTCATATTCCCCCTTCCCAGTAGGTCGCTTCACCATTGTGTGAGGCAAGGGCTCACTCCCCTCCTTGTCTCTGGAGTTTCAAGTCAGAGGTTGAATCCTGCCTCCGTATAGAATCAGAGGTTTGCCATCCGACTCGCCTCGAAGCCTCTATTTTCTTGTCTGTAATGATGGCGGTGCTTCCGTCATAGAACAGACACAAGATGAAATGAGAGAATGAATATGAAAGTCGGCCTATAGCACCCAGACATGATGTGTGTGTGTGTGTGTGTGTGTGTGTGTGTGTGTGTGTGTGTGTGTGTGTGTGTGTGCAGTGAACACACTGCGTATTTATTACTGTTAAGATCAGGCTGGGCCCCGTTCCATGCTACAGTATATTATGTAAACTGATTGCTCAGCCTGGGCCTTGTCCTGAGTTGACTCCATCTCACAGAAGAGACGGGATGAGTCTGTACTTTTCTGGACACACAAACAGAGACAGGACGAGTCTGTACTTTGCCGGACATACAAGCGTCACTTCCCATCCGGCGCCACTCATGGCGTACAGATTGATAGTTTATTCCCAAAAGTAAAAAGGGTATCAGGCTACAGAGTCACCTGAAGGCTTGCAACTGCAAGCCTAAGGACCTGAGGTTTGATTCCCACCCAGCACCCATCCACAAAGCCAGGCATGGTGAGATATCCCTACACCACAAACCCTGGAGGCGAGGGAAGTGGAGAGAAGGAGGGGACCCCTGGGACTCATTGGCCGGCCCACTAGCCAACAGGGAACCTCAGGGTTCAGTGAGTAGTTACGTCTCACACTGACGGGAAGGCAGGCCATCACGCAGTGGGTACAGCAGAGAGCAGAAGGACTGGGATAGGGAAGAACTGGAGCCACAGAGGGAGAAAACACTTCACAGTCAGCTGAGCCGGCCTTTGAGGTGAAGGTCCATGTTGGGCTGTAAGGAGGGGGAGGGGGTGGGACATAAAACTCAGAGTATGAGGTCATTGTCTCAGAGCTGTGTTGCAGGAAGGAGCCACAGAGGAGAGGAGAAAAACGGTTTGCCTAGAGCCATGCCTGACACAGATGAAGCATGAGGGGTCAACCTGACTCCGTGAGACCCACTGGAGGGGACCAGTGGGGAAAGACTGGACTCTGAACCAAGTTTTCTGCTTAGAGTTTTTTCTTAAGACTCTTTTCTTCATTTTTTACATTTTCTTTATTTGTGTGTATGAGTTTATGCGTGCTTGTGTGTACACATGTATGTGTGCCTGCAGGTGTATGTGTGTGTGTGTGAGTGTGGAGGACAGAGTCCAAAGTCAGATGTCTTCTCCAGTTGCTTCTCCACTTTAGTTTTTGAGACAGGGTCTCGTGCTGAACCTGGGGCTTCATTCAGCTACACTGGCTAGGCAGAAAGCCCTCGGGATCCTCCGATCCCTACCTCCTCAAATCTGGGGTTGCAGGAATGTACCTTCCGTGCTTTTTATTTATTTGTTTATTTATTTACAAGTGCTGGGATCTGAACTCAGGTTTACCTGCTTTCGAGATAGGCACTTTACTATTGTCTGGGCGATCACCGTAGCCTCATAGGTAGTTTTTATAACTAATCCTCTGCATATGGGACATTTTATGTCAGCTGGTGTAGGAGGCCACTTGGGTCACTCATAAAACCTTCACAAGTTTAAATAAACTCTTTAATTATGTAACATGATTTTTAGTGGGTAAGTTTTAAGCGGATACGCTTTCAGAAATGCGTACGTCTCCTAGAAACGCCTTAATGTTTTATAGTAACCTCAGAATGTGTGCCCTGTGTTGAATGTTAGGTGTGCACACATGTGATGCTTCTTAGTAAAAAGATCAAGCAAATAAATGATCAGCTGTGCATATAAGAGTCACCACCTCCTGGTACTTGTCATTGTCCCCAGGGTTAAAATCATAGGTGTGGCTTCAGGAGAGTACAAGATATTTGCTTTACTTGGCAGAAGTATCACCTGGAAATACACTCCTGAAGGCTGGGGAAACACACCCATGTGTTTTATAGACAGACTTGGTATGTGCACGGGCTGGGAGAAGGCCACATAGCCCCAGAATAGCCAATCCAAACCTCACGTCCTAAAGACGGCATTGCAGGTCCCCGCTGCCGCCCCGTCCCCCCCACACCCCCCCTCAAATGTGTCCTAGAGTCCCAGCTGCTATATGAGGCATGGGGTTAGAGATGCTCAGATGGCACTCATGGTCACTCGAAGAACACAGAGAAAAGCATCCACGCGGCAATATGCTTAGCAAGACAGTAGAGCTCAAGGCACCGAAAAAGGCGAGGAGAGGAATGTCTAAAAGTGATAGCAACTAGTCCTGCCTGGGCTGTCTAAGATACAGTAGTAGAGCTGGGCCAAGAGGAGTGCAGAGGAACTCTCTGGTATGGACCATGTCCTGTGTTCCCCTAAATCCACATGTTGAAGCCTTAACCTCAATGTGATGGTATAAGGAAGCCTTAGCAAGCAATGAAGGTTAGATGAGGTTATGATGCAGTCAACTTGGTAAAGAAGGCAGAGAGAACACCCGGTAACAGGAAGCCTGGTACATTCACAAGGCTGGGGCATGTTAAGAGAAGCCAAATCGAGCTGGGCGTGGTGGTGCACGCCTTTAGTCCCAGCACTCAGGAGGCAGACGCAGGCAGATCTCTTGAGTTTGAAGTTAGCCTGGTCTACCAAGGAAGTTCCAGGACAGCCAGGGATATACAAAGAAACCCCGTCTCGGAGAGAGCACGGGAAGATTTGAAGTGAAGAGACACGGTCAGATTTTCACGTCCCAGAGGTTTTGTTGTGGAGACCTGCATTAGGGAGCCCAGGAAGGGAACCATTGTGGGAATGGGCAGAAGGTGGAAGAAATCATCACAAAAACACCCAGGGAATAATGGCAGAGGAAAGTAAACTCAACTTGAGGAAGAGGGAGGTGTGGAGACAGAACAGAGTGGAGGAGGGTGTGTGTACAAGAAGCGTCAGGAAGATCTGAGGAACCCACACCTTAGCCTCTTGTTAGGCCAGTCACCAAGGGAAGGGGTGGAGCAGGGCTTTGGAGTCAGACCCAGCAGAATCTGGCCCTTCTGTCTTGGCTTGACTTGCAATGGTCAGAACAAGATGCCTAATGTCTTTCAGCAGAGTGTGCAAACCTCAGTGTGTGACGCTCATACCAGATCAGAACCTATGAAATTCTGGTTTTGTGGGTCAAAAGGAATTCAGTCATTTCATATGGTCATAACATTCCTCCTGAGAGGTATTTTGAGGAGCACAAAGCATGGTTTTGTAAGAGCGCCCATTGTCATCATTTTATCAAATTACCACTTAGGAGGGCAGCTGCTTGGAGAGCTCAGCTTGGAGAGCTCAGCTTGGAGAGCTCAGCTTGCTTCAGGACAGATGAGTTCTTTTACCTGGTCCACCCTCAAAGCCTTCCAGGACTTAACTGTGAGGCCCAGAGGCCTTCTTCCTGCCCTCTGGCTGACTTTCCGGAGAAAGCATTCCAGTCTTCTAATTTCCAGAGCTCTGCAGGATGCTGGCGCAAACGCTCCCTGGGAGGCCTTGCAGCAGCGTGAGAATGGGTGGGTATGTGGGAGCAGGTTCCTCTTGGGCTACAATCCTGGGGTCACACAGCTTGTGTGTCACGGGACAAGTCCCTTTTCTGTCTCTCGGGTACTCTCTTTTCTACCTTTGTAAAACACGGAAGCAAGAGCTGATAAACTTTATGCAAAGGTCCCAGTGATGATTAGGTTTTGTAGAAGACATGGTCTTGATTTTATCTGCTCAGCTCCGTAGGCGGTGTGGGAGTAGAAAGCAGAGTCAGCTTATCTCTTAGGCAAAATGCCAAAGGCACACATATTTTTGGAAACTTATGAACATACCTTAATTTTGATTGCTTTTGACAGAAGAAAGCCAGATGTGGTGATTCATGCCTATAATCCCAACACTCCAGGAGACTAGGGCAGGAGGATTGTTGTGACTTCCAGACCAGCTTGGGTTATAGAGAGAGCCTCATAAATCAATTAATAAAGCCAAAATTAAAAGGGAAATGATAACAAATTTTCCAAGATTATCTTTCTACCAATAAAGTCATAAAACATAATTTTTATTTATTTGTTAACTAACTTATTGATTGATTTTTATGGAGGAAGGTGCCATAAAGGCAAAAGAACCCACAGCCCATAAAGTCAGAATGTAGCTCTCCATAAATGGATCAAATTTTATTTATGGACATGGATGCTTTAATTTATTTTTTTTCTTTGTCGTGAAATGATATTTTAAAAACTTTCCCCCAACCACTTAAAAACCTAATTAGTTCCAGGCTCAGTGGCACACGCCTTTAATCCCTTTGGAAGTATAAAAAGACAAATCTCTGTGAGTTCCAGGCCAGTCAGATCTACATAGTGAGTAGGGCTATGTAGAGAGACCATCTGAAGAAGAAGAAGAAGAAGAAGAAGAAGAAGAAGAAGAAGAAGAAGAAGAAGAAGAAGAAGAAGAAGAAGAAGAAAGTAATTAGCTATTCTTGGCTCAGACGTTCTATGAAATCAGGCAGCAGGCTCTACACCCCAGCCCTGAGGAGGCTGAGGGCTTCCAGCTTCTGCTTGGGCCACAATCAAGAATGACATTAAGAGACAGAAAAAGGCCGGGCGGTGGTGGCGCACGCCTTTAATCCCAGCACTCGGGAGGCAGAGCCAGGCGGATCTCTGTGAGTTCGAGGCCAGCCTGGGCTACCAAGTGAGTCCCAGGAAAGGCGCAAAGCTACACAGAGAAACCCTGTCTCGAAAAAAAAAAAAAAAAAAAGAGACAGAAAAAGCTTAATAAGGAGTGGGAAGTCACGCCCTTGCTCAAGAGTTGGTGGGACATTCTGGCCTTAGGTTCAATAAGCAAGGCAACATAAGAAGGAGCCAGGCAGGGCTCTGACACTGTGATGT